CCCGTGTGTATCATCAGTTAATGTACACTCTTCTACTGGTTGGCCTGAATAGGAATAATTTCCTAACTGAAGTGCACTTCTTCAAGCGCTCCTGTCCTTGTAGGATGAATCCTTTTTCTGAATCAAGTTTATCCCTTATTTTTTCCCTTATTAACACAGGCTGCCATTTGATTTTCATTTGATTTTCATTTGATAATGGCACAGTCTCATAGAAATTCATCGCTGTAGGATACTGCCAACTTCAGACCTGGAACATCAGCTGACAGCAATAGAATTAGACCATTTGTGGTGTTTTAACATTATGTTTGTAAAAATCTTACCCTTAGCATGATGAACGGTGAAATCAAATGGCTCTGCCACTAGTTTATTGTGCATAATATTGGCATTTTTATTAGATTTGTGGTTATGGTCATCTCCCAGTACTTGATATCAAACATTTGTGGTAGTTCTTCATGTAGTGGTACAACATGTATCATTAAGGAAACAATTTTGAAAACTTGAGTGAAAGAAACAAAATTTTTTAGTGTGCTTTTGGGAGAGTTGGACTTCATTTATTCTAAGTTCTTTGGCTAAAATATAAATAGTGGCTTTTTATCCTAATGTATTATTTAAAAAAAAAATCCAAATAGTCTAAAATCCAGATTCAGTCTACAGTGTCTGCAGATTGCCTGCACAATGCCTGATTCATGTTGGCACATTGACACAACAGATTTGTTGCCTGGTTTGCTACATGTTTGTACATGGTTTTTATTCAGGCTTTATTTGCTGCCTCTTCAGAAATCCTTCAAATATACACATTTTGACACTGACAAAAGAATTCATATACTTCATATTGAACAGCTCAGTATTAGTCATGTGTTTTAAAATGAAAGACAAAAATGAGCCTGATTTTTTTTTGGTTTTAGCAAAACCTTTGTTTTACTAACAGAATAACTTGTGGTGGAGCAGCTAAGCAAAGAATCAATCTATTATCCATGAGCAAGCAGCTTAAATGTGATCTATGTTAGGGTTTTATTTAGACAACAGAAGAAAAAGTGGTGAGCCCTGATTTGTAGTTGTTATGGCCCCATGATACAGACCAGGTCTCTGCTCTTCCTGCAGGAATTCCTTCCTAAGGGTTCTGAGGCAGCAGCCAGGTCAGTCATAACTCCTGTGCTCTACCCCTGCCTCTGTAATTCTTAGTGCAGAAACACACACGGGGTGTGTCTGACAGGGACAGCATCGTGTGTTCCAGTGCACTGCTGAAAATTCAGCCTCAAGGATTAAAAGAATATTATCTGGGAAAAACAGGTGAAATATGTACAGTTGTTACTTTTTTGTGAATAAAATGCTGAGTGTTGTAGTCACCCTTGGTGTCTCTGACAAACCTGCTGTGTCCTCACAGGGACCCCTGGGGCTCCTGTTTGTGTAACTCCTTGCTTGACAGCAGTTGATGCAACTGGCTCAGAGTACATTTTGATACAGGATCTTGTATGAAGAGAATCAGAAAGACTTGTAAAAATTCAGATGCAGAGACAAAGAATTACCTTAAGTCCCTAATTTCAGGCCAAAGATCTCTTTTAAAATTGAGCCTGCCTTGTGGTCTTTGACATGTAGGCAGCAACTTTTTCATGGCACGATGATGTTGCAGCACCTTCATGTCAGTGCAGAGCAGTAATTCTGGGAAAAAACTCTACTACTTCTGTATGTTCATCAAAGTTTTTGCTTAAAACTAAAACCAAGCCAAGAAATACAGAGGAGAAGCAGAGGAATATTGTGAATTACTTAAAAATCTGTTTGTTTTCTTTCTACAGTATTGCATATCACTTTAAAATGAAAATATTAGTAATTACATAGTGTCTATAAGTAGTAATTTTACTCTTTGCAAAAAGAATGCCCCCATATTTACAGGTTTTGCAGTTTGAGTATTCTCTTACAGATAAACTGGAGAGGAAATGCCTGTCTTTATTTTGCAGAAGGAAGCTCAAAGGATGGATGAAGACTTTAAAGAACAGGCATTTGACTCTACTCTTCCAAGTCCATCAGAGACTTTACTTTCCATTCGACTGTTAGACTTTAAAACAAGTTTATTGGAGGCAATAGAAGAGCTGCGTATAAGAAGGGTAAATTTGTTTATCTTGGATTTGGTCTTTGTCTTTTTTCTGTCTCTCTGTAGGTAATCATGGAAAATGCTTCATTAGTGTGGCTAAACCTTATGCTGTATTTTAAGTGATTCACCAACCAGCGTTTTGTTTAAAAATATAATGGGTTTAGGTATTGGCTATATTACAAATTTCCCTGTAGACAGCACAAAGACAACAGGGTTGTATGGGATTGAATTTTGTTTTTCTGTAACAGCATAAGAAGTTGCTAGAGTTGATAATCAGGCTATTGAGAAAATAAGCTATATTAAAATATTGTCTTTCATTATAGGTGTTCTCTTAAAGAGCCGCCTTTGGTACAAAATGAAAAGAAAGAATCCAAGTATTTGCCAAGTCCCTAAGTCTTTCTCATTTCATAACTGATTTGCCATTGGCCAGAAAAGTGGTGATAGGGGCTGTTTACTTGCGCTTTTCAGAATTACCTATGAGGGGAAAGAGCTATATACCACTATAAACCACTTTATTTCACCATTTTTACATTGCTGAGCTATGAAGCTAGACCCCTACAATAATAGTGCATTGAGTATTGGGGGCGGGGGTGTTTTGTTTTTGAAATGAGCTGAATCATGAGATGAAATCATCTTGTAGTAGTACCAAGGTAAAATTGCTTCTGTACTGCTAAAGGCAGCTGGTTTTTCTTGTAGGCAATTTTTCACTTGTATTTTTCTGTGGTTACTGTTTCAATTGTGTATGTAAACATTTTTGTCTATTTCTCCCCTTCGGAGAAAGGTTTCTGAACTGTTGTGTGTATTGAAAGACCTAAAGTGTATTTTTCTTCATCTGATGAATTTGACCTGTTCAAAAGATGTGTATTATTAGTTTTAAAGTATTAGTATTGATGACATGCTTGATTTATGCTTATTTTGATCTAAGTGAAATGCTATAATCCTCTCTTTAAAAGCCATAAACAAAAGAATGACTGCCATTAAGAAGAAAAAAAAAAAAAGAAAGGCTGCATGATGCTACTTTCTTGGTGCATGGTGTGACCCCCAGACCTGTGTTACAATGGTAGTGTTTAGTCTAGTCAAACTATTTTAGTATTAAAAGTAAAGACTGAATAATTTAACTTTTTTTATAATAATCAGAGTATACTTTTCTTTATAAGACCACTTAACTGAATTTACATGGTTAACTTGATGTTACATTTTTAATGCACTTGGTCAGAGCCTAAAGTGTTCATGGAGTGCCATGGAATTTCATCTTTTGGCATTCTTCTTTGGGTTTTTATGCCTGTTTTGTGTCTGCTGTGCTACAAGAGTTTGTGACTGTGATTTTGTAAAAGCTGTCTCAGAAGGATGAGTAATTTTTTGCCTTAAAACTGTTTCTAGTTTCAAAATTGATGCAAATGCTAAGAGCCAATTTCACAGTTAAGACATGACCATACCTTAGTTTCTAAAATAGCTGTGCTTTCCTTTTTCCTAAAAATATATATAGATATATATATTCACCTGTTAAGTTAGAAATTTAGGTAAAAATAGTAAGCATTTTAAAGACAGCCAACTTGAAATCTTAGAGTGTCCTTGAATGCATTTTTGATTGGTTTTGATTTAACAATCAGTTCAGGGCAGATTGCTTAGTATGTTTGAAGTTTGGAGTATAAAACATTAGTATTTTGAAGAAGCAAGAGTTGTAATAATGTGGCTTGTGCCTAGTGGCATTCATTTTTATCTTTTTAAGTGGAATTTTGTATGGATGTTTTTGCTTTCAAATACCCCTAAAAAAACCCTTTCCCCATTTTAGCTATGAATTTCTTACAAATTCAGTCAACGTGAGGTTATTCTGTAAACTTTTAATCAGCCCTGAGAGAAAGGTAGTCCATAGACCAAAATGCAGAGGTAACTCAGAGAAGAATTACAGTGCTTGTCTTGCACCATGCTAATTTTTCCATGGCCAAGAATGAAACACACAAACTTAAACTCCATCATCTGCTCCATCCAGAAAGTGGAGTAAAAGTGAAAATTTTGCAGGTTTCTTACTACTTTTCCCACTTCCTTCCCAGGTTGCTTGTAAGGTTCAGTAGAGTGATAACCTGAGGGAGGCACCAGAGCCAGTACCATGGATTTTACTCTCAGTTTTGTCTTTGACCTCTGGCTTGGCCTCAGATGAGATTATTTTACCTCTATTTGCTTCTGTTTTTCTTCCTGTTCTTGGTCTTGCTTGTCACTTCACCAGGAGACTCTTTGGGACAGGACCTATTGTGTATTTTGAGTTTAATAAACTGCCTGGAATGGTTGGTTAAGCTGCAGTGTAAATTCAGATCAATAAAAATAAATTTGTGGATGAAATTACCTGTGTGAAGCTAATTAAAAGCAAACTCCTAAATGATAATATTTTGAGAGATTTGTTGCAATCCTTACTCAGTGTCATCATGCTGTAGTTAAACTCTCAAAAATAGTTTAGCTGAGTTGCTCAGAGTAAGGGACTGTTCATCTGTTTCATCTTCCAGAGGAAATCCCAATCCTTGATAGCTCTGCAAGTTTATTCTAAATGATTATACTTGATACAACTTCAATTTATTCCTTTGGCTATTCACAGGGTCTTTGCTCTCCATAGGAATTGACATAATATGAATATGTAAGTAATTAAAATCCACAAAAAAATTCTCTTTCCCCTTCCCTGCAGTGATTACTTCACACTCCAATAGTTACATGTCTTCTATTTTTTCCAGTTTAGCTTTCCCACTCATCAGGCCACTCATCAGTGACCAAGCCAGTGATTCTTTTGTGCTGGATATCCCCTTCACTTACTGCCATGTCTATCAGTTTGCTCTGCAGTCAACTGAGTGTGTTTTCTTCCTGATAGACTTGTAACTGGATTTTATACATAAATGTAAATTAGGGTAGTTGTTATACAGAGAAACAAGGAACTTTTTTTAGTAAAATGACAGAAGCAAGGAGCTGAGTATTGGGAAAAAAAAAGTAAGTTTGTGGATTTAAGACAATAAACAGCTCTGAAGTTTCAGATCTCATGACTGACATCCTGTGATGTTGTTTGAGCCAGCAAGCAGTGAGTTAAATGGTAATTTCTCTGTTGTGTTAAATGGTAATTTCTGTGTTAGTGAATAATGTGGCTTTTGATTAGGAGCCAGTTACTTGTTACTTGCAGTTGGAGAGGAGAGTGTTGTGAGTATCAATGCAGGCCTTTCTGGGAATATATTTTGATATAAGAGATTTATTTAAATATAGGGTAATTATAGCTATGCAGTGGAGTCAAGGAGACCAGTGAAAAATTTCCAAAGGAAATACAACAGTTGGTAAAAAATTTCTGTCTCTGCATCTGAAAAAGGAAAGTTTTTGAGAATAGATTCCGATTATAGGTTGTTGTTATTTGTTGTTAACTGTCATAACTATGAAAATCCAACAGTGTTTTATCAGGAACTAAAATTACAATAATGCTGCTATAAATACCTTTTTTCCTTTAACATTTGTCCTGGAAACAAGGCTTAAGAACAATATCTATGAGATCTATTAAAAATTGTACTGGTCTCCTTCGTTCATGAAGGAATTTCTGATTACAGTATGAAACAATCAGAAGTTGTAGTTTCTGAGAGTACTGTTTGACCTGCATGAAAATTGGAAGTGCAATTTTGTAGGAGGGAGACTGTAAGTTCAAAAAAAGATAATAAAAGTACCTAGCAGCAGTTTTGGCTGCTTGGACATGAGCCAGCTGTACTCTGTTCCTAAATCTGTTCAGGGTCAAGAATCGAGGGGGCTTGACCAATCCACAGCCCATCTTGTAAAACTACAGCCTGAAGCAAACACTTTAAAGAAGGCTTGACACTTCTGAAAGGTTATAACGAGTAAATAAACCATCAAATTACTCCTCTTTTATTGTTATGGTAGTCTTTTTTTATAAAAATACTTAAATCCGTGTAGTCCTAAGGCATCTAATAAAAAATGAGCACTTTTAAGGTTTTGTGGGTTTTTGATCCCTCATCAGAGTTATATACAATATCATTCTCCTAAGTATAACAAAAATGTTTTTGTCTTATTAAACAGCTGATAGAACTTCTAAAAAAAAAGAAGTGCTTCACACAAGTTTTAAAAGCTTTCAATTCCAAATGGGTAAACTATAAACGTCCTTTGGAAGATGTAAAAATGATGGATAAGGTTTATAACTGTTAGTGATTTCATGTGAGAACATTTTTATCATGTAATTGCCATTCTCAGTTTAAGTATTTATGATGTTTATTTTTTTCAACAGTAGTTACATACATGCACATTTTTGACAGCTTCCAGATACACCTTTATAATTTGGGAGTAAGTTGGAGGAGTGTTGTTCACACAGAACTTTTGTTCTTATCCTCTTAAGTATTCACAGCAAAGGGTTGCTTAAAATGGAATTTAATCCCATTTTCTTACAATTTTCAGGAAAACTTCTGGCAATAATATATCATTTGTTGCTTAATGGCAGAAATGGCTAATGATTACACCTTTTTAAAAGCTCCAAGTCAATCTATTTGGTTTTATCACTCCAGGGAAATTAGGGGGGTGTATTTTCCTTCAGTACTTATAGAATAGTACCAGAAAAAAAAAATTGTCATTGCAACTGTGCAGCACTATTTGTAAAAGAAGAACTGGAAATCATTGATAACCTTTCAAGCTCTCTTTTTTTTTTTTTTACTATAAGTCATATGAAATCTTTAGGTCTCTTCTCCATCTGTATTCTACCACTACAAGTCAGAGAATCAAAAGCTAAAGAACTTTACTGTAGTTCTCTGTGAGCCAAATTTTAATTTTAAAATTTAATTTAAATTTTAAATGCCAATTCTGTATTTTATATGTAGAATTCACATGAGTGCTGAGGCATATATTTAGAACCTGCAAGAATATCTTGAAATGTTTGGGAGTAGCTTCCTATGGAAAGAAGTGTGGTTCTCTCCACATGTGTGCCTGTAAACTCTGCTAATCAAGGAATTCAGTTTTGATCCTAAAACCCTATAAAAGGTATCAATGTCAAAAAGCTATTTTGAATCATTTGGGACATGTTTTGCTCTTTTGTTTCTATTGATAAATAGTGGGACTATGAATCAAATATTGTACTAAGTGAGAAAGGGTTGCAAAAAGTCTTCAAAACTGTTTTGCATCAATTATTGAAGTGTTGTAAATATCCTTGAATCAGAAACTTGGAACCCTTATTCATATTTGGCTTCAGAAAGAATTGCATTTTTAAAGATGCGGTATATTTTATAGCCAAAAAAACTTGTTACCTCCTTCACTTGGGAAGGAGAAAGAGCCTCCATTTGTTCTTTCAGTGTGTCAGGAAAGGTTTTGCTTCCTCCAGAGGCAGGATCATTTTAGTCTCATGGCAAATAACAGTTGTTCATGGTATTGCAATTCAGTAGAATTTTACTTCAACCCCAGTATTAAGAGAATGATCTTTTTGAGGCCTTCTTTTATTTTTCATTAGAGAGATCCATGGTCTTTTTTCCCACATTTTGACTGTTTCCTAAAGGTTCTAACCAATTTTTGAGGGGTGAGTCACTTCAACAGTACTTGAATTTTTCAACAACTAAAATTGCAAGATTTAAACTGTAGTGAAATTGAACTTAAAGATTAAATTTTAAATTAGATTAAATTTTAAGATTCAATTTTAAACTTAAAGCATAAATTTGCACATAATATATCAAAATGCACAGTTCAAGTATTGGGAATATTCTTTTACCCTCACACAGTCAGTTTGGCCCTTGCTGGAGTGTGTCCAACACAAGACCTCAGTAAATGTTATTAATGCAACGATTCATCAAAGAGAAGTCAGGCTTACCTTAAAGTGGTCACTTTTCCAAGCTGGCTATCAGTGTGCAGAACAAAGGCAGGAAAGCAGCCTTTTGAAGCTCAGTGACACATCAGTGTAGCTCTCCAGCCCCTCAAAAGGAAACCTTTTTCGTCCTTTTTTAATAATTACTGGATTTGTGAAGGAAGGCCAATGCTCATAAAAATTGGACTCCAAAGGGAAACTAATTCCTATTGGGAAAATTTAACTTTAATACTAGAATGTTTCAGGAAAATTCTCATAAATATTTAATAAATGTGATTATCAGAAAGTAAGTCTCATTTTTTATCAAAAGTTTGATTCTTGACTAAGTGCTGCAAGAACAAGAACTGCAAGAAACCTTCCTTCTATTAGTACCTGTTGTGGATCATTGAGGACATTTTGGACTTCAGCAATGGTCTTCTCTGATTTTCTGGTAGCTCATCTTATCAGAAGTATGTGTTGATTACCCATGATTCTCTTTCAATTTATTTAGTAGGTCAGAAGGCTTCTTGGCACAGAAGATAATGATAAATATTTCACTTTTTCCATAATAACAGCAGTAATTGCTGACACAAACTTTTCAATAGTTCTAGGAAATGTCACAAAGAATAATGATCCAGATGCTTTGAGCTGAATATTTAAGATGTCCCAAAGATTCTGAGTCATTAATTATGATTATCTATATCATTGACTAAAATGGATACTTGAAGCATCTCACCGAATTTCTCTTCAACTCAGTGTTTTGACTTTTTTTTTGTTTGTTTTTTAACTAGGAAACAGAATCTAATTATGAAGACCAAATAAATAAAATTGTTATAGAGAAACAAGAACTTGAATGGCAGAAGGTAACTTTCCTGCATGCTTTTAGTGTTTTACCAGCTGAGATTTAATTTTAATATGTTAATATAAATTGCAATTTGTTACAATTCCTCTTTTTAGAGCTATTTTTATTTCAGTAGTAATATGCATTAGCCAGTAGCTTATTATTTAGTCATGAACATCTGTAGCTTTTATTTTGATTTGGATTGTGTCCAGTTTAGAAATGTTTTTAGCAAGAGAATATAATAATATTTGTCATGACTTGGCAATCTTCAGTCAAAAGAGATGGAAATACTGAAGCAAGAAGACATTTAGCTGAATATGAGGCATGTTGGCACATCAGTGTGGGGGTAGCTGTGTAGCAGCTTCTCTGTATTATGCTTGGCTTTGGCAAGTGCAAATATCAGTGCAGCAAACAACTTCACTTGCAATCTTTTGGAAAGGGTAATTTTTCCAGAAAGTTATTTTGAACATTAGCTTGTATGTTATCCGTACTCAGAAGTAGTTTGTCAGCTTTTGACTGTTGAGAATGAAGTGTTCAGCAACATAAGTCTAACATTCTTCTTAGAGTTAGGGCTCCTGAGGTTATGCTTTCCTAGGAAATGCATTCCCTTCTTTAATACAATCAAACCTATGACCCCTGTCACTAGGGCACAAGATAAAAGGCTTCACTCCGTATATTTTACGACCCCAGAAAAAACAATAATTTCATCTCTATCCTTGATCTTGGGATATTTAACATCTTAGTTGTAAAGGAAGGCTATTTCATCTTGGAGTTCATCCTAACCATCTTAAATTAATAATCCTAACTCTGTGCTTTTCTTTCTTGAAAGATATATATGTGCACACAGAAACAGGAAATGTTTTATATTTGTAAAAGCAAGAGTACTTTCCATTTGTAACCTTTCTTTGCTTTTCTTAACCTAGCATTGCAGTGCTTAATATTCTGGGTTCAAAAGGGAGAATTTCCACCATTCTAAGACCTTAACAGCAATTTAATTTACCACTCATAAAAGGATGGGACTTATAGGTAGTGAGGCAAACTCTGTACTTTGCACTTAACATTGGCACATGACAGAGCTGATGTAAACAATGAGTGGTAGAATTTGGGAACTTCATGTGAGGAAATATTCTGGAACTTCAATGGAACAAGCTAATTTGAATTTCCAGTCCTGAAGATTTCAGTAAGATGACAATTCTAAGTATGACATTTAAATTGAATTTGTGACCTGATTGTTTCTAGATGCAGGATCATATTGACCACAGCAGCAGTTCAATAAGTAGACATCTTCCTCTGGCTTGTCAAACGTTCTTTTTTACCATTTCCTTCATAGATGTCCCTTTCAGTCAACATTTCTGTCATTCATTTTAATTTACCTTAAATTTAACAAGCTAGTTTGAAATAAAGACATTACCTCAGCTAAGCCATATTACAATTTGTCTGCATTTTATAAATATACTGCTGCTGTTCTTGGAAAAAATACACTCAAGCAGGGAAAACAGAATAACCGGAGAAGATATTCCTTTAAATCTAGTAGCTGTACTAGATTTTGTTCATATTTAAAAAAAAAACCCTGCTTTTTTCTTCAGTCTCCCTGCACCACACATACATGGCATATATGGCAGATTTCTTCCAAGCCTGAATTTCTGGCAGAGATAATATAATAATTTTATCTGTTAGTCTTCTATGCGAGGCTTGTTAGAAAATGAGTATTTGTAGACACTCCCCTGTCTTTTTGAAAGTAAAACACCTCACTTGAATATACAGTACAAGAAAGTGGTATGTTATAAAGAGTTAAGGGTTTTTTTTCCATTACATCTATGATAAAGTTGCATAAAGGATGATTGTTCAATGAAACCAGACTGATATATACATAATTCATTCCATGATATTGGCTTGAATTCATGTATTTTATAGTGCCATCTTAATTTGGTAGTGCTGTGGATATAAAATTTTATTCCTGTGGTGAGCAGGAGTACTGCAGTGGGAATAGTTGATTTGCTGTCCCTGCAGTCCTGCCTGTGCCTCACTAGTGCTGTCACCCCCTGGAGAACCTGTCCTTGGACACAGGGCTAAGGGACAACCCAAGGAAAACATTTCTCAAGACTTTTATGTGCTTCTGGATATTCATTTATGTACTGTGCATTGTTTGTTACACGCAAATCAAAACTTTCTCTGCTCATCTGATGATGAGTTAATATGTAAATGGATATGGAGCACCCTATCTCCATGGATTCTTGTCTTCCATCAAAAGGCAACAGCCTCTCACTTGTACAGTGTGAAAGCAACACGAACTTGCTGGAGAAAACAGCAATTTTGGAATGGACTTCATGCTTAAAACCTCTCAATTTCTATTAAGGCAGAAGAAGAAATTTGACTCCTTGTGTGCGAAACAGATTTTCAATTTATTTTCTTCCATTCATTCTTTTTAATAGTCTCAATTTATATTTATTTTTGTGTGGTCATTACTGGATTTTTTCCTGCTTCACACTAGTATTTCTAAGATAACCACCTATATTTTGAGATAGCTGTTCAAGGACAGAGCCTCTTAACTATCTTTACCTAATGTATTTCAGTGTTTAGAACTGAAAAAACCTGGTCTTCCATATCTACCTTCCGTGGTAAAGGTGAAGTATCTTATAGAGAAGCATTATGCTTAAAGATGCTGGAGATTTCCAACCTGTAGAGTGTTGTGTTAGCCTATGAGATTATGATATTAAATAATACCACAAAAGAAAATACATCTTCAGTCATTTGTTTTATGGATGAGGGTAAAGCCAGGTAGTAGGGTAATAAAAATCTCTTACTATTGCCTTACACTTAGTCTTTTCTGCTAGCCTTCAGCTCTTTCAGGTAGCTTGTTAAATGACTAAGATTTAACTATAACCAGAATAACAGGTAGTTATTTTTCAATGGGATTCTATTTTTAATGAGTAATAAAATTCTATTGTAACTATCTGGAGCAGTGTGAAAGCGCTGTCTTAAGAGGACAGTGGATGTGGATTGTTTCTGCAGGCTGATGGGATGGGTAGGAGTTGCTTACAGAAGGCCTAGCAAAAGGTCTGTATTCCAGAGAGGAGAATTGTTACCTGTTAAGAGAAAAGCTGCTACCAAAAAGACAATTACCAGTTAAAAAAATGTGTCTTTTTAGTCAGTTCTGTCTTTATAAAAATATTTAACAGTAAGTCAGCCTTTTCGTGAAATACTTTATATATGATTTTCTCTAAGACAATATTTAACTCACACTGTTTATTTCACACGAGCAGGAAACTCTGCAGCATCAGATTGACACACTGCAACAACAAAACAAAGAAGCTATGGCAGCTTTTAAAAAACAGGTAACAAAATGAAGCCTTTGGCTTTGACTGCAGGATTTTAAAATATGATGGCATCATAGCAAGTTATCAGTTGGTATGAAAATATTTTTCTGTTGCCAGAAAATGTTAGAATATACAGCTCAAAAAAAAAATAAAATCATGTCCTTTCTTCTGGCCACAGCATTATGCCTGTATGTTGGCAGTTTTTTCCAGATGCCACTCTTCCTGGCATTTTTAATTTTTATATTTCAAAAACCTCCTAGAGAAAATAATGCTTCTTCTAATACTTTCCTTATTCTGTTTTGCTTTGTTTGGTTTTTCCCTCTAATTTAGCATGACCTCTGCAAGGGTAGATTCATAAACCTCGGTAAAAGATCTGCCACACAAATTACCCTGCTCAGCATTTGAAAGTGTGTTTCACTCTTGCATTTTATTCTCCATATTAAAGTGAGCACACACAAATGCTGAGAGACCTTGCAGAGAACGTTCATAGGAACTGAAACTGTTGCCCATGGTGATGAAGAATTTGTCATTAATGCTGTGTCACAATCATGTCACACAAAAAGGAAACCATCAAGCAATTAGGTTTCTTCCTTGAAAAAATAATTTGAGAATCACAAACTTCTCCTTGTAACTCTACAGTTTCTATAGTTTACAAAACAGCAGGAACTATACTATGCAGGTTAATATAACCATATTGTTGTGTTAAATTGCATGAATGAAATTATTACCATGTGCTGTTCTGATTTGTCTGTTTTGCATTTTTATGTGACTGACAACCAAGTTACAGGCAAGGATGTTTGCCATGGAAGAAGAAAAGGTACTCTACAATTATTTGCTGTTTGTCATCCAAAGAGGAAAATAAGAAAATGATAATGATATCCAACTTACCAAACACTTCCTAAGTATAAACTAAGTATATTACACTTACATTATGTTTCTTGCCTTTGCAAAAGAAATGTCTTAATAATTTTGTTATTTCTGGTTTTTTGTTCATAGTCTGTAGAACTTGTGAAGTGTCACTGCTTATGCTAAAAATCAGTTGAGGAAAGAGTATTTTTTTGATAGCTCCATGTTGCAGCTATACAAAATTTACTTTATTCTAGAGGATTGGGATAAATTGGGATAATTGGCCTTTACAAGTAGTACTGAAAAGCAACATTTCTAACTACCTTAGAGAAATCAGATTTTAATAGGGATTTTATTGATTTAGCTGGGCTAGTTTCCTAAAGTAATTGACCTAATCTGAAATAAGATAAATTTTGGCCTGAATTTATGTGGATTTTGTTAGCTACATAAGTCTTTATACCAGGCTCAATGCTCAATTCCTCCTCTGAATGAAGGATTTACATTTGCTGTACAATGAACCTGTTTCAAACAGTGAAGTCAGTGAATGTCTGCATGTGTCCTCAATTGTTTAATTTAAATTTCCCTGTGGTTTAGAGCAGATGAATATGCTGGATGTGGCATAAGAACTGGCACAGAAATTTGCAAATTGGTGAAATGGCTTGAAAGTGTATCAAAGTAAACTCTATATTTGCAGCACTGATATTTATTTTATGTTTATTTTTCATTTTCTGGTTGAGTAATTTTCTTGATTGGAGTCTGAAGGTTTTTTGTTAAGACAATTAATTTGTTCACACATACCCATTTATTACTCTCTGATTTGTCTTTTCAATGACAGCTTCAGAATTAAACTGTATGCTGATTAATTTTTCCTTCTATTTCCATTGAATTGAATAGTACTTCCAGTACTTTATACCAAAGAAACTGAAAGAATAAATTAAAGTCAAGACAGAGTTGAAAGACCAATTTTTGCACCAATTTAGATTATATGTACTATGAGTGATCAGGATGGTTTTGGAAGATTGCAGAGCCAGACTACATTGGAAGTGACTGGAACATGCAGGGGTGCTTGAATGGGTGTATTTGTGTTTTCTGGCATATTTCCTGGTATTTAGATTCTGGTCTGCATTGGATTGACTGCAGCCAGTGATTCTTATCAGATTTAATTTACTGAAGTCCTTTGACTTTCTCATGCACAAATTCTATATGTTTGTCTATATATGCATTCACATACATTCATATGCATATACATATATCTATAGATATAAAATGTTCTTGTATGTATTTAGTGACTCTAGCAGTAGCAGGTTACAGTTCACTCTTTGTGGACTGGGAAAACTAAGCAGGTTGTTTCTATAAAGATCCTGCTACTGCAGATAAGAAAATGGATTTACCTGATCCATTCAATTTTAAAATTTAGTATCTTTGTTCTAAATAATAGATTAGTTCTACATTTATCAGGCTTGTCTCTCCCAGAACAGCCAGTTTTAAGGTTTGATGAATAGAGTCATAAGTGGTGAAAATATACTATGGTGTTTTCCCTTTTTATAGCAATATATATCTAAAATTTAAAATTATGTAGCTGAATTATTCACCAATGAGTTGTTCTGTCATAGCGGAGTAACACTTTATTTTTGTAACATTCTTTTTGATAAATTCTTATTGTAAATGCATTTATTCTGCCCAAATCCTGAAGTACAGCTTTTGTTGAAAGGGAAAATATCAACTTGCTGCAGAAACAAGAGAAAAAGAAATTGATGGACTGAAAGAAACATTAAAAGCATTACAGGTAAACTATTGCTTCTGTAAAATAACATTGCTTGGAATGCAAGTGTTTTGGTTTTAGGTTTTTTTACTAGCAAGAAAATTGTTGGTTTTAAGAGGATCTCTAAGGCTTTATTGTTTAGTCTTTCTAGAACACCTCCTTGTCTAGGACACCTTTAATCCTTTAGGACACTTTGTAACTCTGAGTTTCTGTTCCAGTCTTCAGTGTCAAGACTACTTTAAGTTAACTTTCTGTCTAATGTTCTTTTCCTCCAGAAGAAGACTCAAAAGTCCAAATAATGTATGAAATGTACTTTCTTTTCATTTATACAACCTTCCTCTTCCTTCAAATTCTTGCTTTCTTGCTTCTCACCTGTCTGGGGTCCCTAGTTTTGGATTCTTAAAAATAACTAAGTATTCACCCTGGGCCTCCAACTTCCAGTGCTCCCTGTGTTTTTCACTGTTTTCCTCTTTTTCACTGGAAGGTTTCTGTATTTGCACTTGATCCATGGCTTCAGACCAAGGCAGAAATGTTGAAAATTGATCACTAGCATTGCAATGCATTCCCAGATTTCAGGTACTACCAGGAACTAATTATTTTTCTACCCAGAACTGAGTGGGAAAATAATTCTATCAAAACCAAAATGGTTATAATGGATTTTTACTATGATTTTGAAACTTGGTGTTGGTTCTTAATAACATTCTCCTGTAATGAAATGCATTTACTTGGTAGCAATCTGTTTAACCACTTAGTTAACACTGAATATATTTTAGATTCCCATGAATCTAGAAATTGATTCCCATGGCTGGCCTTTTGAGCAATAGCTGTAAGGATTTTGTTGCCTTGCTCAAACCTTGGCATAACGCAGGTGATGTAGAATATCCATCCCTCCATGGTCTGCTGAACATAGTATGTGGACAGCAAGAGTAATGAAAGATCCCACTGGCCTTTCTTTTGTAAGATAAATCACAAATTTGAAAAAAAAAATTATCTTAAATATTGAACGTTCACAGAGGAAGCATTTGTGTCACAGTACAGTTCAGATCTAGGAAATTCTGCTGTAGCTAAAGGATGCAGGAGGTCACAGTGGACATATGGCCCCAGGGAAGTTGTTTGGAAATGGCCTAATACAAGAGTGAAGAATTTTTAATCCAGTTCTGTATTCTTCTCTGTAGAGTCAGAACCCTACCTTAAAATGGTTTTTTCCTAGAAATAATATTTTCTAAGATTTGTACACTCTGGGTTCTTTGACATTACTCTGTTTTTCCCTCTTATACTTCAGCGTTATGCAAATCAAAACACTCTGTCAGTGGGGTATTAAATAGTGTTAATATCTTCTAATGTCAGCTTTATATTATTAAAGCATGTGAGATTGGTGCATTTTATCTTTATGTGCTACCATTTGGAATATCTAATCAGATGGTTTTGGGGTTTTTTTTCCAATAGGGAACACACTTCTATTCCTGTAGGAGCTGAGAGAATACTTTAATTTCTGTTTTTTTCTTCTTCTCTGTTTATTTCTAAGGGTCTAGTTTACAGTGGTCCATTTGCACATTAGTTTTATGATGCCTGTCAGAAAACACAAGGATTTATGCACTTTTCCAAAACTCCTCTAGTAACAAATCAGTGTAAAGTAGTTTTACATAATTTAAATATTGAAATAACATTATGAAGAAAGGCGAATCTAATAATAACTGAATCATTAATTCAAAACTGACTTACTGTATTGGATGGATTAATAACAAATGCAACTAAATCCTAGTTATAACAATACTTAATTATGCAGGTTGTTGTCAGAAAAAATGTAAGTACCATTTAATGAATAACTCTCTGTTGTTTTACAGATTTCAAAATACACTTTACAAAAGAAACTGAATGAAATGGTAAGAAAATAATAAAAGAAAAAAGAAGGAAGAGCTTTAATGAGAAGAGTGTTCTTAGGGTGTAATCCACTACTAACAGGCTTTAATACTTAAATGATATATAATAATTATTACAAGTATCACAAAGAAGTATCAGCTTCAAATCTGAAAATATTACAAATGCAATGTTTCTTAGGTTTTGATAGTCTGATAGCTACTGTTCAGCATGTGATATTTTTTCTTCACTGAATTGAAGTAGAATTGGTACGTTTGTTCTCTTTATAGATTAAAGATTTTTTAAAAGACTGTCATTTAAATAATGTAATTTTATTACTCTGATATGATCTAGCATAATAATCTCAAAAAGTAATAGAGAATTCTTAGCAGTTCCTGGGTTTGTTTTTAAGAAAAACTGGTGGTTTTCCTCTCACTCTTTTTTACTCCTCAGAATTAGTTCTTAACATCAGTTTCCCTGAACAGTTTAGATTTCATCCAGTGCAGCTTACTCCCTTTGACACAGGGAATAAATTTACCCAGAGTGACAGCATAGTGGCTCTGAACCCTGTTGTCTGTTTTAGGAAGTGAAAGAGTGAGCCACAGAAACATTGCTAGGCTTGATTGAATAAATGCTGTGAAAATTCTGCTGCTGCTCAACTGGAAAGAATAAAGATAATATTGTCAGACCATTACAAACTGTGATTTTAATTAAGAAGCTCAAAAAACTAGAGTCCAGTTTAGCTTTAAGTACCATGACATTTGTACTGAAAGTCATCTTCAACGCTACAGTGGTTTTACACAAAATATGGTGAAATTGAATAATGTGCCCTCTGACCTGGGAGATAAGGCTACAAGTTAAAGATCAAAGGCAACATAAAATGTGTTTTGTCTTACTTCACTTTTAACTTGTATTTATTCCTAAAATGCAACTGATCTAAAAATGTGTTGAAAATATACAGAATAATTGGACTTACATTTAGGTCATTTCACATATTATCTTTCTTTCATAACTTACAAGCTCAGTCTTCCATATGAATGAGAATATTTAAAGGGCAACACCTTTTCTGTAAGCTGGAAATGCATCTATGCTGCTTAAACAAATATATTTCTTATGTTCATAAACTTTTCATTAATTGATCATTTGAATATTTTGAAAGCATTTGCTTTAATACAAAATTGGCATTGAGTGGAGGCAAGATGCTAGAAATCCTCTTTTGCATATAACACTAAATAGTTGGGACTTATTTAGAGAAAATGCTCTGATATGAAATGATAAAAACAAAACATCCCACAAAGTAAACAATTCTTTCTTACAACCTTTGCAGTAGTGGGCTAATGCAGTTTTACACCAGGTTAAATTCTACTGACTTCACTCCCTGAGTGGTTGCACTGAAATAAGTGGTACGTTCAAGGGATCAGAGGAGTAGCCATCCATGTAGGCTCTTGGTCATCACCAATGGCAAAGTGTTTAAAAATGAAATGGATGAAATTCTGCACCAATCATTTATCTGAGACCCATTTCTATTTCACTTTTGTTAGAGACAGATTAGATTGTTCTGTGGTGTGTGTTTTGAGAGTGAGCAGATGTGTTGATCAGTTTATATCTGGCACCTTAGAAACCCTGCCAGTCAGTGATGGAGCTTCTGTGTGTGCTGGGGACTGGGTGTGCCTTACTGATGTAGCTTTTTATTCTGTTTTCATTCCTTTTATTCTGTTATTTTAGAATAGTACATGCAATGTTAATACTTGACATAAACACCATGTTTTAGCATGCTGTCCAGTTAAATTTAGACAAAAACTGTAGTGCAGATATAATTCTTACCACAGGTTTTGTTTTGTGCTGAAAGACAGTAGAGAGACAAAAAAAAGAAAGGATTTTTTTGTCTTTTATTATTTATTTGTCTTTATTATTGTCTTTTTTTTCCCCCACAATCAAAGTGTTGATTATTGCATGTGGTTCAGTCGTTTTGCACCTCACTGCATATGGACAGCAGCACTCATGCAGTCAGGAGGCTGCAGGGGGATTACTACAAAGCCAGTTCAATTGATAGAATGCACTTGAGTGTGGGCTCTGAATTGTATTTGATTTCCTGCTGCTGAAATTAGGAAGTAACTGGAGGGAAATGGTCAGGTGTTGGTTTCCTGACAGATGATATGGAGAATGCCAGAACTCTCTGCATGTGACAACTGTTCTTGTCTTCCCTTACTGTTTTTATTGGAAACTAAATGTATATGAAACCATTTAGTGAAGCTGCAGTCAAATGGTCTAGGTTGATTAAACCCTACCACTCTTCAGAAAAGAGGGAATTTGGATTCAAATAACCCACATCATTCTCAGCAGTCAGTCACCTGAACTGTGCCCAGGAACTGCTTGAGTCCTACTTGGCGCAGGCCAAAATATGTCAGGGATATTTTAACAACAGTACAGGCATTTCCTGAGAACTTCCCTGCCACCATTTAGTTTTCTAATACAGGTGTAGTCATCAAATTAATGAAAAAGTAATTACTGCAAAATGTAAATGAACTTTTGAAGTTGGTTTGTTCTTAATAATCTAAGATAGGAATGTTGTTTTTTCCTTTCTGTGTCTTTTAGGAGTTTGCCTGTAATCATACTATGTGGTTTAAAAACACAATGAGGAGGTTTAATATAAATGAATCCAAATTATTTTTAAGTAGAAAAACACTGAGAGCTGGAGGAACTGTTGTGAAAAAATTCCTATTTCAAAGATCTACAGTTGGTAGCCCTTTTCACGTGATCTTGCCTTAGGTCTCTGTGCCATTACATCTCCTTTTTTTCTCTGACCCTTTCACCTCCCAGTTACCACCTCCTGCATCACTGAGTACCTCTGACTAGCGACTCCATTTCCAGAATATCTTTGAGATACGAGCAATTCCCTCTTTGTGTTTCTCCAGTCACCCACTTGACCCTGAGCTATTTCTCAGGTCTAGTTCCACCAAGAAATCATTGTGCCTCAACAAGCCATATGGCCACAATCAATTCCACTCCCCATCCCAGCTTATCTTTATTACTGGTGGAGGGCAAGGCAGTAATTCCTGTTCTTGCAGTATCGGACATAAGGAAGAAGAACCAAGATTCTGTGGGTCTTACTCCAACTCCAGGGTCATCCACTCCCTATCCTGCAGTGTCTCCTGGTGTTTCTTGATTGTTGTCTATGGAGGAATGTTTTACAACCTTTTCACTGTGAGGAGACGAATCACATACTCAGGCTTTTATTTCTATGCACATTAAGCCTGGTGAGCAGCCTGCCATCAAAAATCACATTTAGGCAAGTGTTAAGCTCTTAATAAAACTCTTGCAGATAGGGCAGGCCAGTCCTTCTTTTTTCCCTGGAAAGAGCCCTGTGAAGTAGAATAGCATATTTCAACTTTCTGAAGGAGGGGGAGGGACTAACACTATCTGGCTGACTAAAGAAAGGATTTGGGATAACACTAAGAAAAAAAGCGTATTAAAAACTGCAAACCCCTCAGATCTTGCCACAAGCTGTTCAAGTCTCAAATTAGGGCTGTCTCCCTGTCCATCAGTCTCTTAGAAGAAATATACCTGAGGAAGCTACCAGGAGAAACAAAGAAAATCATTCCTTTTAATATTTTTGTTATAAAATTCCCCTGCTAGCATTAGTTAAACACAGATCTTCAACAGTTAATTTGTGATTAGGAAAAAGAGAAAGTGCAAGAACATTTTCAACCTACATTCCTTGCAGTGATTTCTGTAAGCAGTGGTGTTTCTTTACCAATGCTTCCATTATGACTTTCCATTTGCTGTAGTGTGTTTAATTTCATACCTTATAAAACATGAGAAATTTGTATTGTATATCCTGTTTTGCTAGTCTTATGGTGGTCATTTCTTTTGATTACTATCAGCTTTTATTATCCTCTGATGCCTGGACATGTATTGCATTTGTTACTGTGTGGAAATGGAGCCTTGCCAAAGCCAAACAGACTGGGCCAGATGCATCCTGGTGTAACTTGAATTTACACACAGGAATCAATTTGGCCCAGTTCATTTTAATTGCTGTGTTGCTCTACTGTAGATTAGGAATAGATTAGATATCTAAACAAATGGTTATCCTTTTTGAGGAAGTAATTTAACCCATTCTCTTCAGAGAAAATTAAAATTCACCAAATAGTACCTACAAAACAGTTAACAAAAATACTGTAAAAGAAGAACACAAAAATCTTACTGTTACAAGGATAACAAGTAGCTTTAAAAAAATGTATCACTGAACAGTTTCCACAAAATGAGAGAGATCAGTAAAATTCATTAAATATATTGTACTTAATTACTACGAGGGTTTTTTTGTGGTATTACTTAAGCCAGCATGAGAATAGAAGTAAAATAAAGTGTTGCTTACAGAAGTAGTTAGAAACTTCCCCTACAGATACACAAAGTGGCTTCATCATATTTCAAGATACTAGAACAGCTAATTAATACTGAGGAATTAAGAATTCCTCATTGAAAGGTTATTTATATTTTTCTGGGAAGCGTGGGGTATTAATCTGCATTAGTCCCACTCACCTAAATCAAAGTCACCTCTACTCTAGAAGTAGTTGATGCAGTTCTGATTTTTAGCAAGTGTGTTGAAATTCATTTATTAAGATGTGTCAAATACATCAACTCTTTCCTAATTGTCCTTGGTTGTGTCATTTTTTACAAGCCCAGAACTGGAATGGAGGAGGCTGTCAAGCAGGGCCAGTGGAATCAGTGTCTCAGAGCCAATGTCCAGTGTTTTTTAGTATCTCCATGAACAGATTTTGTAGCCTGCCTGTGCAACCTGTTCCAGTGTTTGCCCACCCTTACAATAAATGTCTTTCCCCTGAATTTTAAGTGAAATTTCCTGTCTTTCACTTTGTGTCAGTGAGCAGCACTAAAAGGAGTTTGGCTGTGATTTCTTTATTCCTTTCACACACACACCTCCCCTGGTATTTACACATTTATCAGCTCCTCTCCAGGTTGAACTGTCACAGGTCCCTCAGCCTCTCCTCAAACATCAGGTGCTCAAATCCTGTGATTATCATGATGACTCTGTCTCTCCTCCTGCTATTTGGAAATGTGAAACATCATCAGATATGATATAGACAACTGAAAAAATCTGGGAATCATTTTACATTTATGCTTTTATATTCAAAAGCTCTTGGAGAACTACTTACTGTCATTAAATGGGTGCTTCATTTATGTTCCTACCAGGATCAAAAATTGCAGATGCACTTAACAGCAAAAGAGGAGCATCATAAGAAACTGAATGAAGTTGAGAGGTGTTATGCTACTATTACATCTCGGTTTGGAATTGTAAAAGGTGTTCATGGCAAACTGGAGCACAGTGGTATGTATGTCTTAAATGTCCTCCAGCATTTGGTTTTGCTGTCCTCTGACAACACCGAGTTGGAGACACTTGAAAACTCAGAAAAATAGCAGATATCCAATGCCAAGCATCAAATATCTTGGTAGGTTCCTCAGTGCTCTTTGCTGATCCACTGCTACTGTCGGGTCTGTGACCACACAGGAAATTATATTGAGGAACTAACAAAAAAAACACCCCAAACAGAACAAAACAAAAAACCCACCAAAAAAACCTTTTTAATTGCTGAATCTTATTCAATTTTTTGTTTCTGCCTGAAACAAAAAAATTTTTTTCAAATCTAGTTTGAATAAGCTGGTAACATATTCTATGTATATTTGTGGAGTACCTCAAGTTACTTGTTGTATTCAATTCTTAAAATTTTAAATCCAGAACATTACTGGCTAACCAATATCTGCTGATTGTACTTCAAAGCTAGAGACTGTGCACATGAGTTTTGCTGAAAGATTGGAGAGTTTTACCAGTTTTGGCCTGCTTGTTTTTCTGGTGGGTTTTCCTAAATTGTGTCAGAAGATAGTGGTTACATTAATCAGTATTTTAATTTTTCAAGCACATATTCAAAACTGCAGAATTGCTTATTGTTCATCATTCCCCATGATGGACAATCTCTAGCAGGAAAGGAGAGGACTTTCTGGGTGTCTACAGTTCTTGTATTCAAGTGTGGTGCCAGAAAACTATTGAGGAAAATAAAGAGAAAAGATTAGGGGTGAATGAAGAGGAATCAGAAAATAGAAAAGGATGAAGGGGAACCTCAGAGGATCAAAATACAAAGATTGAATAGAGCTGTCTGAAAAAGTACAGGAAGCAGTAAATATCTTCAGCTTTTCATTGTGGAATTTCAAACAATTTCCCAGTGATCTCTCTCCCTGTATAAAGTTTAAGAGAAAATTCTCTTCTCTTTCAGTAGGAATAGAAGTAATTCTTAGAATTTTTTGCTGTGCTAGCCTCTGCTGTTTTTCTGTGTTCCATGGCCTATATGCATATAACTCTGTGCATCTGCTAGCTCAGTTATTATTTTTTTTTGTGCCCATTGTATTGTGTTAGTCTAAAAGTAATTAAACTCATCAGAAAATTACAGACAAAGCTTTAAAAAATAAAACCAAAATTAAAAGTTCTACTAAAATGACATCATAAGACACTATGATTAATAATAATAAAATTACAGTTAATTACAGATAATAATATTTAAATTACAGTTTAAAAAAGACAAGACAACATATAGAAAAAAGTTGTAAGTCATTGTTTGAGGTATAGATAACTGGTACCACCTGGTATAATCCTCCAGTGTGGTATCAAACTATACAGAAAATGTAGTTGAATCATATTTGCAGTTTTAGGTTTTTTTTAAAAAAAATAAATTATATGCACATATATTGCAGTTATAAATCAAATATTTATTCAAATGTGAAATCATTTGTTAATGCTTTTGTTTAAAGTGCAGGAAGCCATACAGCTCAATAAGAAACTAGCTTCAGTGAATAAAAGACAAGAGACTGAAATAAGTAATCTGAAGGAAGTAAGTACAGTGCACATTTCTGAATGGACAATGATCCTTGTGGGTCCCTTCCAACTCAGAATGTTCTGTAATTCTGTGACTCTTTGGGCCTTCCAACAGCTGCTGATGTATTAACAGAAGTAGTGGACAAGCAGCAGAACTGTTTTTCATTCTATGACTAACGGCTAAATTACTTTCCACAGACACTTCGGTTAAAACTGGAGCAGCTCTGAGAATTTTCTGTAACCTGTGAATTTTTATTTACCTCTACAGCATCCTCCTTGTTTCTTGCTAATTATTAATAACCTCTCTTCTTCCTGGGTTGTGTTGCCGTCTCTTCTCCATCTTTGAGGAAGGTAGTAGCAGTGATGTTTTCTGTTTAGTCAGAAATACAACATGAAGAGCAGTTGCCATGGAAGCCAGCTTGAACATGGGATAAAATGTGTAACTGAATCCCTGAAGTGGGAGATTTTTGCAACAAGGCAGCTGAGAAATCAGATTATGGTGATTCTATTTACAAGGAAGTGGTCACTGAGCTCTTTTCTCCTGCCTCTATTCAGAAACTCCTCTTTGCCAAGAACATTTTTGGGTTGCACTCCTGAACATAGGTAATAGTGAGAAGAATAATGTTCTTTTCCCTTTGAGGTTCTTAAGAGCTGACAAGAGAAAAACAAAAGGACACTCCTAAGTCAGAATTCCACACCACATCTCTTTTCTATATCTCCTTATCATTTTATTTCTCTCCTTTTAATTTTTTTTTTTACTCCTTTAGATTCTGTAATGATTTTATGTAGGGATCAAATGCATGATTATCTCAACTTCTTGGCCTAATGTTAATTCCCAGTTTCCAGATAATTGCTTTGAATTACCATGGAATCCTTGCCAAGTTCATGAATATTTTTAAAAACAAAAAGGGACAGGGGAAGAAGATAATGTATACGTGAGGAAAAGGGACCATGACCATTTTATATTTAGGTTATATTGGTGAAAAAATGGATGTTTACCTGTTTACCTATCTTTGCCTGAAAAATGGGATTTGAAGGTACAAAAGTTCTCAAAAATTCTCCCTGAATCTACTGTTGTTTCTTTGCTTAAGACCATGTAGCCTCTTATTGTTAAGGTTCTTTGGAATATGATTCCACTAAAAGTCAGACTTAAAAATTAATTTTATCTTGAAATACAGACACCTTTAGATTTTTTTTTTTATTTTTTTCATTCTTACCTTCTTTAGTGCTTTACTTAATTTTTATACTTATTACATGGAGATATTGCAGCCACAGTAAAAATCAATCAGGAATTCAATTTGGCTTTTTTTAGTTACATACTAGAATCTAACATGCCAAACCACAGTGTCAAAAAGATCAAGTTTTGAAGTGATCAAAGATTTCAGAACTCTTACTATCATAAAAGCAGACTGAAATCCACAGTAACAGTAAAGCAGAACACTGGAAAAATTCTGAAATTAATTTCTATATCATAATTAGAAATATATATATTATATATATTATATGTTACATATTACATATTGTATATAGTATATATATCTAATATATATATCTATAGATAGAAATATATATTATATATCTAATTTCTATATCACAATTAGGTCTTACAGTATTTAAAAATGTTTATTTATCTACTTTGTTCAAATCATAGGTTATATATAAAAATTATATATATTTATCTGGAATATTTGATGGATGGAAGAGAAAAATATTGGAAGGTGTCAGTGGTGAAAACTTTCCTCTGTAGGAAAGCCATGTTTGTTAGGATGCTGATATCATCATAACTGAGAGCAACTTTGTCTGTGCATTGTGAATACTCCAACTGTGCAATTCCTTTAAAAAATAGGAAATAATTTGTATGTGGCAGAAACAAGAGCATTCATCTAAAATTGTGCATATCTTTCCTGCAGTATATTGTAAATAAAAAAATTGAGAGAGTTTTAGAAATATTTCAGCATCACAGTAATTTGGATTTGTTGCTTTTGGTGAGAAACCAAGAATAATTAATTACTTAGCATTTTCTGAGGGTAAGTAATGTGAGAGGTAAAACATCAGTGTTTAAGGAAGTTTTACATAGTGAAATTTGTGAGCAACACAGGTATGAGAGAGAAATTGAGATTTATGTACTCCAGCAATCAAACATGTTATTTGATCCACTCTTTTTTTCAGCTATATTCTTGATTCTTAAGGTCATGAACAGTTATGAATTTTAAATAAAATACTGTTAGATAAGCAGAAAAAGGAGGCAAATTGAAACTTAATCTGGCTTCCTCAGTCCAGCAGGAAATGCCTTTTCTGTGGTTATTTCTGAATTTCTTATTGGTTTTTAGCGTTTGACCAAGCTATTCTGAACAACCTGAGATGGGATATTTAGAAGAGTTTTGAAAAGGGATTACCAGGCTGTTTTCACTTGCTACATAGCTGAAAGAAGTCATGATATCAACACCACAATTTGGGACAACTTCTAAACTTCTAAAGCTGGTTTTATCTGCCTTGGAGGCTTGACTGACCTCTAACAATTTCGGGGTTCAAACTTCTTTCCTCTGTAGCCTCAGTGCTGGAATGGGAATGACTATCCATGGTACTAAAAATCTTAATTTGGCTGTCAGCTCTTATCACAGCCATTATTTTCACTCAGACCTGGATGATCTCACACATTTGTTCTTAATGGGAATGTGAAGTTAGTGAATGCTATTTAACATTTATGGATAAAAAGAAACTAATCTCCAATTTTAATGAAATTGCAAGTGTGTTATGAGAGTGTTAAATATGTCCAACAGTAAACTTGAGTGAAATTGAGGTCTGTTCTGCACAGGTTTACTCTTCTGGGGTTTCAGGAAAGAAATATTATTTAGGAGGCTATAATTTTCTCTTAACATTGCCTGCTTCAAGTCCAGTTCCTAAACTGTAATGTAATGGACTGTGGCAAAATCTCCTTTTAGTAACATTTGGTTTTGGATTTGAACATTTTGATATTCAGTGTGGTAGTATTCTTTTCAACCACTGTGAAAATGCTTGCATTGATATCTGGCCAAGAAAAAGATTTATGCCGTTCTACTGCTTAAAAAACAACTCTGCTGCTCTAGACCCAAAGACTACAAGAGGGTTGCAGCAATTTCAGAAGAGAGAAAACAGATATGGATGTAATTTTGAATACAGGTAAATTTTTCATAGGGTATCAGTCTTGGGAAGTGGTTACATCTTCCTCTGCTGGCTGCTTTTGCAGTCCCACACCACTTCTTTATGCTGGAACATGTATTTGTGTGGCCTCAAGGGAGATTGGAATTAATATTTTGCATTGAACAATACTAGATTTTACAAACAAAAACAAAACAAAAGAACCCAAACAAAAATCCCCCCCAAAACCACAAAAAAACCCAACCAAAAACCTGGAAGTTTTACCTTAGACCAGCTCAGAGAAGGAAAATGGGTTTAAGGAGCAGGACTGGGATTTTGGGACACTCTTGACTTACACTGGCATGAAGTGTTTTTGAAGTCATGTCCCCAAGCATTGGCTGCTAGCATCAGATCAAGGTAATGGATTTAAAGCCTTATCATTCTCCCAGCACACCCCAGAACTGATAAAGTTATATTCCACATTCAGCATATTTTATAGATTTTTGGATACTACTTGTGATTTTACTAATGAGATAAAGCTACTAGAAAAAAAAAGCAAAAGCTCTGGGGTGACATTTTAATTAATTTCTGAGTACAAGAAAATACATGTATGTATGTTTAAATTTTTTTTTTTTTGGTGGCCTCAAACCTTATGATTTTACTCACCATGAAAATTTTTGCCATTATTTTTGGTGGTTTTATCTGTGGGTTTTTTGGCAAGTTTGTGTTGAGTTCTGGTTGTTTATTGGTTTTGTTTTTTCCTGCCTACATCTTTGCATTAGCAGATTTGGGTTTGCTTCCAGATGGATTGTACACACCCACCTGCCATTACAAAGAAGAAAATACTGTCAACTTTTCTACCTCAAGAGCATGAGTTACTCTGTGTGATTCATGCTTTCTCCATGACAAAATAAGTTTTTTCTGCATGCTATAAAGCCTGAATTTTGGAAAACCCCTGGCATCAGCTCCCTGGCAGGCTTTTGCACCTGCTGGCGTGGCCCCCAGCCTGTGAGCTGTGCTCTCTGTCCCATTCATCTGCTGCTCTCTGCAGGCTGGCACATTGCACCTTTGCACTTTCATAAAGTTGGAGCTGCTTGCACCTTCTGCCACTTAACAGCAGGAGCTCTCCTTGCATGGTTCATTACAGAGCCTTCTTAGTACAGCTAGGATATGTCTTTATTGCAAAAGATGGGAAAAACCTCACTAGCTTATGGAATAGAGTAATTGTAAAGCTTTAAGTTCTGTAATTGATTGTGCAATTACACTTAGGACTTACTAAATCATTTTAGATTTATTTATGGCTATATGTGAGAAATAAAGCCTCTAGCAAAAGAATGATTTATTTAAAAGTACTACCTATAATTTTCTATAAATACCTAGTATTTTCCATAAAACTTTGTGAATTTCAGTTACAATGTAATCTTCCTTTCTTCTTTTGTACTGTTCTATGATTTTATCCAGAACAGTTAAACCACTGGCCTGTGATAATTCTGTCTGCGATAACCAAAATTCCAGTTTTGTGAAGAAAAGTTAAACAGACCAAACTTAGTTGTTAGATAAAACTATGAGCATTCTGAATGCTTGGTTCACCACTATGGCATCACGGAGAATTCTTGATGCTATCTGTGAGCAGCATTCATAACCTCTGCTATTTGTCTGAGTAAACGTCAGAGCGCTCAAGGAGAGAGCGATATTAAACAGACTACCTTGCACCAGGATGGGAGGGGAGGGGGAGAGCAGGGCACAATATTTATGGCTCCAGGAACTATAAGTTGTAATTTAATGAGATCAAAGCGTTTGCTGTTTATTTGCTGTGCTTGGAGCTCTGAATAAACTGGTTACAAAACAGATAAAAAAAAAAATAAAAAAAAAATCACCCACCCCCCCCCCAAAAAATGCCACAGGATATTTAAAAGAGGATAAAAACACAGGCATCATGTTGTAGAAACTTCTAATATAAAATTAATTTAGCATTCTCTTGAGATTAAGTAATTAATGTTTCAGGAAAAGCAAAGATCCTCCAAATTTATAGCCAGTTCCTGTTTTTACCAGATAATCACTGTTCTCCCTTTTTTCCCTCCTCATTCCCATGAATATTCACAGTGGTTACAATAGGAATTCCTATTGTATATATGGTAAAGCATGTTTTACCAATACCAACTCAATGTCCACTTCTCATATACCTCTTGGAAGAGAAAAGAACAAAATTATTAAATATTTCAAACAGAGTAAAATTGGAACAGTAACATTTTACCTCTGAAAATAAACTTTTAGCCACACGTGACAGGTTTGGAAGTTTAGTAACACATTTCAGTACCTCTCACTTTTGCTGTTGTTTCCATACATTATTTCAAAGTAGGGCATGACCAGGATAGTTTAAAAGATTTGTCTCTGTTTTGAATTGCAATGCCTATACTGGATGAACTATTTATATGTGTTTCCTGTGTTAAGGAACTGAAGAAAGTAACTACAGACTTGATAAGGTCCAAGGTCACCTCTCAGTGCAGGGTGGGAGAAGAAAACATCAATCTTGCAGTGAAGGAAAAACAGTTTCAAGAAATGCAACAGAAAATCAGAATGGTATTTTGGATTTTAAACAAATTAAAGTTTTGGTGAACATTTTCTGTTCTTCACTCAGCAAACCTCCTGGCAATGATCTCTGATGGATACAGATTACTGATTCCTTTCTACTGTATTGCATATACAATATAATTAAACTATTTCCACTATAATGTTTTCTAGGGAAATAAATGTGCTGTGAATGTCAGTATAATTTCATAGTAAAAAAAAATGGGCAAGAAAAAAAAATCAATTTCGTTAAATAGCCTCATGATGATTCACTATATCACATTAATACAATATTGTTAAAGAAAATAGACATTAATTTTAAATGCCTTTTACTGTTCTTCATGCTCTTTTCTTTTTTATGCTCTTTCCTTGTTTTAAGGAGGCAGAAGTCAGTAAAAAAGTTCAAGAAGAAAACACTCACATTAAAGAAGAAAAGCTGGTGAGTTGTTAATACAGGGCTATTTAAAAGTCACTTAAGAAAATAAGTGCAATATTTCATACTTAGGTTTCTTATTATACTAAGCTACAAAAACTAGTTAATTTCACTTATTTACACTTCAGAAATATTTTAATGCTGGCATAAGTGGTATCTTACTGCTCAGTTTTTATAAAAAGTATTACCAGAACAAAGCCCATTGTTTGACACTTTATTCCACATCTTACATTTTGTCTTTGAATTCAGATGTGAGAAATCTGGTATTCCCATGAAACACTTGACTACTTGTGGGTTCAGTACAAATAAGCAGTGAGGCTGCCAGAACATGCTGGCTGTTCTGCTTTCTGGTTGCCAGTTTATTCTAACATTGCTGGTATTGAAACCAGGTAAATGGGAATAATGTGTCAATGATACACAAAGAAAATGATGTTCCATTCATATAGAACTTAAATTGGACTATTAAGCAACACCTTTACATCCCTGAACAGAATTAGGACTATCTTCTCTTGCTAACTCAGGTATGTTCCAGAAAAAATTCTGTGGCTATGGAGTCAAGTATCAAACACAGCAGGAAAAAAAAATTTGTTCCCCCTAATAACAGCATAATGCACTGCTTGGCAGAATATTAAGCATGAAAAGGGTGGTTGGTTTTTTTTCCTTTTCTCGAACAGTTGGGGAATTTTCACTCTGCAGTTCACAAAAGGGAACAGGTCAGAAAAGTCTATCATTCTTGGTGCCAGGGAGGGACAAAATCTTGCTGGCATGCCCATAGAGCACTTATCCAGCAGCACTCTTCCAATTTATAAAAGCCTATTTACATTTTGAATTGCTTTTAAAAAATACTTGCCAATAAACACATGGCAACAACTGAGATATGTACTCAGGCCTCATGACACTCCCAGCCCTGAATGCTGGGAATATCTAATGAGAAGGATTCTGGATTGTGTCTCTCTCTTGTTCTGTTTGAATTTCTAGGGTTTGTTTGGTAGGTTTGGTATAGTCTGGGGAGGGCTCTAATATAGAGATGAGCTTCATGTTTCCTCCAAGTGCTTGGGTTATAAGATGTGGATTTCTGTGTTGTGGAACACTAATAATTCTTCTCAATTAACTGAAATGTTGGCTTCAGTGGTTCTTGGATTTAGGCTGGAAATACCATCTAAATTACAGCTGATTTGTACTAAACTGTAATAGAGAAACAGTCTGGTCTATTTGAGAGAAAACTGTCCTAGATTTAAAAGTTGTGGCCAGCTTTACTACTGACCTGTCAGATGACACTGGCCAAGCCATTCCACAGCTCTGCAGTTCAGTCTTCTGGATGTAAAATTGAACTAAAAATAAATTAAGCTTCAGTGAAAAAATGTTATTTATACATGCATGAAAAGGAATGAGAGTACACTAAAATATTGATTTTATTTTTATTAGATTGCTGTATTTGTGTGTCCAGTAGAGCTAAAACTAGAATAATTTGAAAATACTTTGCAAGGATGTCAAAGTACTTTGTTTTAATATTATGTTCTTCTCTCAATGTATTTGGAAGCAACTGAGCACATTTTAGATTCCTTTCTGCCTGAAACTCAAGGATTTTTTCTGTTCGGGTCTTCTAGTAACTGCTGTAAGTGGTCTTGAGGGGGAGATGATTGCCTTGTCTGGGTCATTCACTCAGTCTTTGAAACTTTGGAAATGTGTTTTGTAGAGTTCAATAAAAAATGGCTCAGTTTCCAGCAGACTTCAACACACCTCATGGCAGCACTCACATCACCTTCATCAACTCAAATCAGCTCACTTTGGGTGGCTCTTCTTTTACAGCTTCCTCTTCATGAAGTAATAATACAGTGTTGAGGAAGGTACCACAAAAGTTCACACCCTGACAGTAAAATACTATATTTTATTTATATTATATTTATTATATCACCATATGATGCAAAGCTAATGGGTGGTAGTTTACATCTATTAGGATTTAATTCAGGAGACACAGAATAATTTCATGTTAGGGTGGTTCATTAGTGGAATAATTTTATTTGGATTTTCCATATTTTTCAGGCCTGTGAATACCTTGTTATTCTGTTTGTCCTGAATTGAAATCACGGTGGCATTGGATTTAATGTATTTTATCCCAATTTGCACTGAAGAATGTATAAAGATTGGGTGGATTTCATTTTAATGATAGGAAAATTCTCTGAAAAAGAATGTTATAATGACTTATAATAATGATAACTTCTCCAAGGTAAGGGGTCAGAAAAAATGGGTGTTCTGATTCTCCCTACAAATTTTCCCCAATACTGAGGTTGGAGTACTTTTTTTTTTTACAGACATGATTTTGTAAACACTGACAGACTAAAAAGAAAAACTAATATAAAAGAGATAAATTATCTAATGTTTAAACTCCAGAAACAAAATCTTACTCAATATATTCTATTCTCTTTGTATTAATAAGGAAATTCTCAGCTCTCTTCAGTGCATGCAGGAGCTGCTTCAGCGAATAACCCAAACGAATGTTAGGATGGAAAGTGAATTAAATGCACTGAAAGAAGACTATCAGGTCAGATTTTTCTCCATTAGACAAGCTGTTACTATCTGTTATGTATTTTTTAAGTCCAGGGCTGTTAAAGACATCTGTGTGCCTTTCAGAACTTTTGACCTCACTTCCATTGCTCCCTCAGCTCCTTAACTGTCAGCACGAACCTCGAAGCACAGGCTGTGCTTTCCCTCTTCTCCCCCTAAAGTAAATCATGGTTGCCATTCTTAGCAGCCATTTCTAGAGGGCAAAACCAGAACAGGGTTGCTTTCAAATACTGAAATCAAATTATTTAATGAATTTTGTTTCTTTGTAATTTTCATATAGGTACATGTTTCTGGGCAACATTTCAAATTTCAGATCTTCATTCATAGCTGGACCTTGTCCTCAGTTTTATTAAAGCAGAAGGCCTAAGAAAGAGAATTATCTTTAGCCTTTCCTTGCTGTGTTTTCTGGCATCAGATTTATGCTAGAGGTGGGAAGTAGTCATGCTGGAGAGTGTGGAGTTGCACCACTCCTTAGTTCCTCTTTGTCTTGGTTTGGAGCAAATTAAGGGAGGAAACTTTTGAAGTGGTCCCTTTAGAAGCAAATTTAAGTGGCCTCTCCTCCCATCAGTTCAGGAGACATAAATTTCCTTTGAGAAAAGTGGAAAAAACCTGTTTATTTAACAAGCAAAGCACTCACAAACATGAAAAAATGAATAATATTAAACAATGAATGTTCTCATTGTTCTGAAGAGATGGCAAATTCAGAAAGTCTTTCTCTAGTTCAGAGTCCTTTTTGTGGGTGTGTATTTTTCTCAGTCTCCCCAGGACTCAGGTCTGCTGTCCTGGCTGCAGTGTAGCTTGGAGGGCACCCAGACAATAGTCTTGCTGTTCTCAGACCAAACAATAGCTGAACAGTTCCAAAAAACTTCTGGCCTCAGCTAACTAACTAAAAAAAAACCCTAACTAAAAGCAAAGGAAAACTCTCCCCCTGTCTGTGTGGGGGATGCAGGGGAGCAAGTGCAGTTTCTGAAAACAGACTGTGCGCTTTTCTCCCCACCTTCGCTCCCAGAACCAGTCTTAAAGGTGTAGCATTTAATACCCAGTGTAAACAGAACAGAAGATTGGGGATACAAGCATCATAAATTCACTCTAGGATACTTTTGCAGCATGTAAAGGCAGCTCAGAACAGTTCAGATTCCACATTTCAATAGCAGTCAGTGCACTGAAGATTAAGGTCATATCCATTCCCATCAGAGGTGCCATGCAGAGTTCAGGTACATCCACTGACTGGACTGTTAAAAAATTATTATCTACTGTTTGCCCAAACATAACAAATATTGCACTCTTTGAAGCCAAGGTTTTGAACTAGGAGTTCAGTTAATTGCAAATTGAGCTTCCAGTGTGGATGAATACTTTTGTTTCTAAATAAATGCTTCTATGCTAATTTTAAATTATTCACTTCCCCTAAGACTTTACTCTTAACAGGTTTAAGTAGTTTGCCTTCTGCCACAATGTAAATATAGGACTTCTGTATTTTGATGAAACAAATAAGGTTGAAGGTGAGCTATGCTCTCCATCAGAAAGTGGCTAAAATCTCCCTAGGAATTAAAACATCTGCAACAATTTTCACAAAGATTAACTGAATAACCCTTTGGCTGTAGAATTGCCTAAAGTAGCATGATTTTCTGTAGCTTCTGTTATTTATATATTGGGACCAGTGAAACAGCTGGATTACTTGTTATTCATACAATCCTGGGTTTTGTTAAAGTAATAAGGTAAGGTAATTTAAATTTTTTAAGATAATTGGAATTGCTTTGTAGATTAAGATAGAGGCTGGAGATAATTCATATATAACCTTACTGATGATGACTTTCATAATACAGGAACCCTTTAGTCCTTTGTGTCAGGACTATTGAATAGCAAATGTATTTTATTTTAAAGTGCTTTTTTCTGATGGCATTTCTGAGCTATTGTTTCCCCTCTCAGATAAAGTTTATAGTATGCCTTAAAGTTCCAGCTCAAACAGTAAATGGTATCTGTGAATCTTCTCTTTGAAGCCTGCACATAAATGTCTACAAGTATGCCTTGTTTTCTTCTTGTTAAGGTATGAATGGAGGACAAGTCTCTGTTTTGCAGCCCATGAAGGCCAAAAGTTGATTTCTGGTTGCAATTATGCTAATTCTGATGAGAGTCTGCTCTGATTTGGGTCTGATTATATTAGGCATTGGAAATGTATTACTGTTTTCTATTGTTCTAAGTACAGCACAAACCACTGCTGGTCATCAAAGCTTCAGTGCAGTCCTCAAAGGTAACTTCAGGCATAAATCCTTCAGATGAAATGGGTTTTACAAGGCATGGATAACCAATAAGACCTTGGTTCAGTCTTCACTACTTAAACTGATGTAAATTGACCTTCTTTCTTCTTTTTCAGTTTGATACAAATCCCATGATATTCCAAGGAATGAGACAATGTTAACTTCTTATTTTGCATTTTTTTAAAACATCAAATGGAACTTAGCAAATGGGGAGCTGAGTATGTCACTTTAAAAAAAAATAAAATATTCTTTAGCAGATGACAGAATGCTTGTGAATGCAAGGAATTCAGGTATTCCCCTGTCTGTACAACTGGATTTAACATGTGATCAGTTCCATGCATCTGCTACTTCTGATTTTTTGCCCTAAGAGCTATGCTGTGAATAACTATAATAATCCATCACCAAGGAGTTTGCATTTCAGGTGCAAGTGAAAGCATCCTTGGAGTTAAGAGCAGGTTCATTGAAGAGAGGAGGTCTTACATTTTTGTTGTATACAACTGGATGAAAGATGCTACATCAGAGTGGGATTATTCAGACAATGTATTGCTAAATTGTCCCATTTTTGAAATACATAATCTGTCAAAGAAGATCCATTATATTGTTATGCACAACTTTTCCCATGTCTACAAAAGTGCAAGGTGGTTTGAATTTTCCTAGTGTTAGTACCTATAAAATATAATTTTATTAACAGTGGAGCTAAATTAACTTAGGCATTTTAAAATCAGTGCTAAGTGAATCAAAAGTGGACTCATTTTTGGTTAAAAGATTTAGTAAAAAGGAATTGCTTTGGAGTGTTACCTCCATAATATTTTTCAAGTGGACTTTCAAAGAAGCTCAGCAGAATCATAAATATCTAGCTGGTCATTCAGCTTCATGCATTCAAGTTATGCTTACATTATCAAATATACTTTTGTCGTCTATATGAGAGGTAATGGAATGCAGTGAGTCTTATCTTCCATATTGTTTGCCATAAAAATGCGATAGGATAAAAATTCCTAGAGTACCTGATACATGTGTGAAGTTGATTTACACAAGACTCCTTTAATTTAGCACAGGAAAGCTGAAAGAGTTAACCCAAAAACTTTGCAAGTACAGTTATGGTGGTATAAAACTTAATATTACTGTTATTTCAATGCACTCCTATTTCAGTGACCTAATAAAAATAAATTAAAGCATAATCAGATATATACTTCATGTTGCAGTAGATATGTTTTAGAATGCAAGGACTGTATAGTTTATAAGAGAGGTTAATAAACAATTTAGGACAGAAAAACTGATTATAAAAATATTTTTTTCCTGTCAATATACAGTAGTTTTATCTTTAAGTACAGTGGCTCAGGATTATGCTACATTTCATATCTCTCATCTCTGGACTTTATATTACTTTTTCAGCACATTAAAACTTATGCAGTGAAACTGAATAATGGCAAGTGTTTTTATGCCCTTTTATAGCCATTTCTTTTTTCATAACCTCCCCCTGTTTCCTGTTAGCTAAACTATAAGCACCTTTCTGTTAATTTATGAAAATTATTGTTGAGATAGCACATTATCACTGATCTGTATGGCACTTGCAGCATGTTAGAAGCAAAGGTCCAAGCAACATAAAACACATCAAAATTCATTAATGCGGTATTGATTATTTTTTGGATAATTAATTTTATTGCAGGCCCTTGAAAGAGATAATGAGCTGCAAAGGGAGAAGGCAAAGGAAAATGAAGAAAAGTTCCTTAATCTTCAGAATGAGCACGACAAGGCACTAAGAACTTGGAAAAATTATGTAGGTTTATTAAATTATATGCTGTAGTATGAAAAGTTTTTTTGGAATAGTTGTCAAGCATTTCAGGTAATTCCTAAAAGCCAAGAAAATATTGCAGAAATAATGTAATAAAAACAACTCATTTCTTCTCCAGTAATACAGACACTTCTAGAAATTAATACTTTTTAAAGGTAGATTTAGGTAGACTTCTGTGTTCTAAAAGGTCACTGCTCTTTCTGCAGTTCTGATTTGAAAAGAATTCTTCAGTGTGGACTGAGGGTGTCTGGTATGTCCCCCTAGTGAATTCACTTCTGTGGACACCTAAACAATAGTCTGTCTTCTATATTTGACATTCTTTCTATTACTTTTAAAGAATACTTCAGTAATTATTTTATCCAAAACAATTAGGAAAACATTGTAGCCTTAAAAATTGTCTGCAATAATAAATGCGTGTTTAGTTATAGGAAAGATTAATAGCACTTCAATAAGACAAGCTCTGCTTAATGTGTGAAAACCAGACTCTAAGCAGCATTTGTTTAATAGTCTGTCTTTTTTATTTCTATGTGCTTGGCACCTACTGCCAGAAAGGTTTTGATTTTGGTAGATAGATTTCCAGGGAAGCTGTGGGGAAATAATGTGAAGTTGTGCTTGTTATCCTGTTGTCTAACTCCTTTGAGTGCAGCCACTATGAGGATGACTGCAGTCATGAGACTACAAAATAGCTGAACTGTTCTCAGTTCCCTGAGATTGGATCTCCCTGATTGCTTGGAGAATTTTATACCATTTCCTCTACAGATATGGGAATTTGCCCTGCTTATTTCTCAGGAAAGTTTGCATCTATTCTCTAGAAGATAATTGTTACTCCTTTTCATATTTCTGCTATGGCTAACTAGAAGTTCTGTCTCCTAAAGTAAATCATCAAGGATAAAGTTAACACTGGTCTGGAAATCTTTGTAAATTAAGTGAAGGTATTTCTTTAAAATTGCCCTTTGCTTCTTTTTACAAGTTGTACTTTGGACCATTCAGTTAATTCTAAATACAAAAATTTAGTTGTTACATATTTACTGAGGCTATTTACAGAAGTAAAGTGCTAAGCCAACTTTTTGCTGTCGTGGTGTCTTGACAGTGTAGGTAAAGGATGAATGTTGAATACTACATTTATCTTTGAGCCAAAAAGGAAGAAAGCTACAAATACAAATCTCATATTTTTGGAGCAGCACTACTAGCAGTAAATGTTGAAAAAAAAAATCCCAAATCAGTTAATAAAAGCTATAATCTGTAATGGAAATATGGTTAAAATTTTGGTTTGAATGAAAGAGCTCAATTGCTTTGCACAAAGAAATTCCTTAGCATACTTTCTTTAAAGGATGAGGTTTCATTTCCTAAGCTGCTGATACCTTTGAAAAATGCTGGTTTACCTATTTGAACATGCAGTGAAGTATGTGTGTGTGCTCTGTGTACTTGCAATTATTTCAGGAGGAAAACATGAGAAGAGAAATACACACTATTAAAAATGAGCTGAATTCCCTTAAAGGACTTCACAGACATCTTGAAGATTATCATCCTCCTCAAGGAAATCAGCGTTCCGAGCAAGTGGAAAATCTGCAGGTAAGTGTCTTTACTAGCTGCAGTGTGTCTTGTAAAAATGCCAGAGAATTAAAGATACAACAGTTTCTATAATCTTGTCTGTCATGTGCAGTGATCCTCCTTTGACATGGCTTAACATAGAAATTTATGTGACAATGACCCTAAATATCACTGAAACTTATTTTACCCACAGAATGTTCTCCTTTCATCAAGAGGGTTGCTTATATAATTGAAACCTGAGAAAGTACTTACTAAATAAATTTTTACCTAACAGAGAGCTGTTAACTTAAACAACTTATCTTTACTAAATCCTATTTCACAGACATATTTTCCATGGGTATTTCTCAAATTCTGGGGCAGATCCAATTGCCTTTATATGTATATAAGTTCCCTGGAGGTGTGGAAGTAGGTCCACTTCTACTCAGAGGAGCTAATTTCATCTTCTCTAAAATCTGTAACATGGGACAGATCAGGAGGGTTTTTTTATCAATACACAGCTTACCTAAGCTTTTCAGTTTTAGTTTAAGAAATGCCAACCTTTATGTCACATAACATCTTTAAGAGTCATGATAGGCACAGCAAGCTCATCAGGTGTTGAATGCAGGAGGTAAAAGATTTTTATGCAGTGCAGGCTGAGCTAGAATTGAGCTTGGATTGTTGGGTGAACCAAATCCATGTTCAGCTCTAGGTGCAGGGCACATGTGGGAACTCAACAAGTGGTTAAGCACACAAAGATGGTTTTGGAGCAAAAGGAAGAACAGGTAGTCCTGCAGCTCTGTGTGATCAAACTGGATTGCAAATTTGTATTCCAGGCTTCTGTAAGATTGAAAAAATTGGGCAGAGTCAGAAGCCATAAAAAACCTCTGTGCATTGAGTGTGTTCTGTTGTTCTGTTGAGTATTGGTTATACAATTTCCCATTAACTTTTCCACTCAAGTAATGATCTATCCTTCAAAGAACAGAAAACTCATCTTTCATGTGTACAATCTGGTTTTTAGTGTTAAGAAAGTAGGAAGACACTAGGACTATAAAGAGAGGTAACTATTTTATAATTAGTCCATGAATTGTCAATAAAATGACAAACGGTAAAAATATTTTAGGATTTGGAAGAACTTGAAATTTTCTTCACAATGCACACACATATGGATGTTTATAGCTCACACTCAAACATACACATATACATGGCTGTGGTATGGGCTTAAAAATGCAAGGGAAATTAGACTTGAAATTATTACTTATTGTGCCAAAGCTGAACTCTACAAGGAGTAATGCAAATTGTGTATCTTTTAAAAAGCACTGTTTCCTTGAATGGAAATGGAATATTGATTTTGTTTGGGATGCAGAATCAAAGTGATCAGGCATTCATGATAAACAATACTGGTGCTTACTAAGATAACCCCGTGGGTTTGGAAGCAGAAAAGCTTAAAGGATATGCTCATAAATGCAGAAGAAGTCAGGTGTCTTCCAAATATACATCTTACATTATCCTATGGCAAATTGCCACACCACTTTGTGTTGTACGATCATTACATTTCCAAAAGCTAGGCAGGTTGGACTGAGTGGAACACTGCCAAGAAACTGAAGCTGATCATATTGGTTATTCTGATTTGTGGGATTTCACCTTGTATCACTAATGAGTCAGCATCTAGTGACACATTAAAGGGAAAGGTGTTGGCTTGGATTTAGAACTTAACTGTGGTTCCAAGTGTTCCAAGGAAATATGCTTACACTAATTTTTACACCTAGTGCAATCTGAAGTCCATGTGGTTATTTGTGAGGCATGAAATTCAGAATGTGCTTAAACTTCACACTGATCACCTCTGGAACAGTAATTAAACAAAAGACATTTTTAAAAGAAAGGTAAAATGTCAGACCTCACTACAGACTTGGATTGCAATTTAATTTAACCTTACAGTTCTTCATATTTAGTTTGATATCATTTGTAATTCAGCTGTGTAGTATTAGAATAGAGTTACATCCAGCAATGGTTTGCTGTAATCCTTCTGTGGGTCTATGTACAGGGAGATCTTCTTTTCAGAAGGTTTTGAATTTCATATTATGAAATAGTCTGTTGAGGGAAAGGATATTTAGGGATATATGTGTTTCTTACTAAATCACAGGCAGAAAACTAAAATCCAAGTTTAAAAGTATTGTTTTTTAGGTATTTTAGTTTATCCACCTTGGACCTATTTTTAAGAGCTGAACAGCCATTTGAATTTATTGAAAAGTAGGTTTCTTCAGCCCATCTCAAAATCTGGAAAGGAATCATGAAACCTTTTTGCCTTTCTATGAACACTTTGTCCTGTTTGTTTCAGATGCAGTCACCAGCTCAGCCCATAACAACAAATGTGGTAAGTTCTACTGCAGTGGCTGTCTTAGAACTGTACAAAGGAGTAATGTCCGTGGTTATAGAGAGGTCTTCGGTGTTTCTGTCTGAAGAAAGAGCTCCTAGAAACAAAAGATCATAAGATAATTACAGCTTTCATGAAAGAAAAAGCAAATTTCTACTATTTGTATTCAAAAAGCTTGAAAATGTGATGCCAGGCCTATACAGAGCAAAGAAGCAAAATTAATTCAAAACCTAGAAAAGAAAAAGGTGCATATATACAATTTCTGAGTCAGAGTGACAGGGAAAATAATGATAAAACATGAGGAAAAGAGCAAGAAATTTCAACCGAAACTTCAAATGGAGGGCGGAGTATTTGGCAGAGAAAAATGATGTTAGGACCCTCCTCTATTTACCATGACTCCTCCCACCCCCAAATCGGCAAAGCTGGGAGCATCAGGATATTTCTGTGACCTGTTGGAAAGCGTTTCTGGCAGATTTGTGTTCTACATCCCCTGCTCTGCCAGCACTGCAACAGCCCCATTCCTCAGCAGTGCTGTCTCCGTGCCTCCCTCCACCCTGCAATATTCTCTGTCCTCCCCACAGCCCCAGTGCCCAAGCACAGCTCTTGTACCTCCCTCCCACATCCCAGCCTTCCTTCTGCAACACCTCCAGTCACCCAAGTATCTTCAGCTTTTTCCCACATCTTTTATGGACTAAGCTCCCTCCCACATCTGCCTACTTTAATATCCTATCTTTAGGGCAAGAGCCAGCACGTTCTCCTGTCTTCAGCTGCCAAACAGTTGATGATGATAAAGGATGCATCTCCTTTTCCTTTTATTTTGGTGGGATTTTATTATCTTCACTATTCAGGCCCTAGTTTCCACACTTGACTGCAGCTTTCAAAACTGAACACAAATACAGACCAGTGATTTAGACTTTAAGTAGATAAATCTTTCAGGCTCCTATTCTTGTTGAATTTGATTCAAATTCATGTTAAAAAGCTATTTGGGAGGGAATGAGGAAGTGAATGTCAGGGATTGCAAATTTAGAAGCCTTATTTGCTTGTGAAATGAAGTTCAAAAGTCCTGGGCAGTTTGCTAGGAAAAAAATGTTGTTTATATGTGCATGTGTTGTTTATGTGTGTATGTGTTTGGGCGTAAACAGCAATCATGCAGTATTTTTCTACATGGAATTACCGAGAGGCCAGTGAGTGAGCCAGCAGAGAGAGGGAGTGATCCAGTCACCACACGTACAACACAAATTCCTTCCACTGAGGAATTCTGTCAAATGTATAACTTTGTGGACTGTAATATAGCAGGACCTGATTTCTTTCCTACTCTTCTAGGGCATTAGTCTGCTTTTTTCTCTTTCTCTGTTTACATTTATTTCTTATACTTCAGGTCTTTGTTTTCTATCAGAATTGTAAAATAATTTTAAATCTCAGTACTGAACTTTTTACCTAATCAATGACTACAGCAAATTAATAAAATGCCTATAATATTTTGTTCCTTCTTATGCTAGAGTGGTCAAGGACACTCAAAAGACAGTGAAATACAGGCTATTCAGAAAGAAAATGAGTTTATGCAGTCTATAATAAGAAAATACGGTAATTGTGGAGATAAAGAAGAAACTGAAGTAAAAAACACAAAGGACCAGTCTTCAAGCATTGAGGAATTAAAGATGGAACAAAGTAATAACCTTCCATGGATAATAGAGATAAGTAGTATTGTTAAGAAAGGATAAATGTTTTCAGATACAGTATATGACAAGAGAGGGCTTAAATCCTGAATTAAATGGTCATATCTAAAATCTACAGAACATTAATATATTCTCTGCTCTCTCAGTTTATAAATATTTTTCAAGTTACCATAGTGCAGTACTTACCTTCAGTAACTTTTTGACAGGCTTGTGTGTGTAATATAAGATATCAGATAATGTAAGATATGCTGAGTCCATCTCCCTGGAAATTCTAAACTGTAAAAATAAAGCATTCCATAACCTCTGGGTTATCAGTCACTAACTAGAGAATACACTCACTCTACAGATTCACAAGTTCTTGAAGACAGTTTTAAGGATGAAATTAATGTTGCTAGCCCTTGTGAAGTAAAGCAAAGGGAGGCTCCTCCCAGGAACACCCTCTGCACAGATGCTGATTTAATTACCCAAGGACACACCTCAGAAATGCATGTCACTGGATGCAGAGAGGCAGAAGATGCAGGAACAACACACAGGACGTTACCAGATGAAAACAAAGCAAATTTAGATCAAAAGCCACGGGACAGCGCTGAGCCTTTGGCAGCACACCACACACAAACAAGGAAGGACTTTTCAGCCAGTGCTGAGACTGTAGGTGCTGCCAGGAAAAGCAGAAGTCAGGAGACCAACACTGGCAAGGAAGAACTGTGTCATACTGCAGATGAATTAACTTGTGCCAAGGCAGATGCAAACTCAGACACCAGACAGCACTGCAAACCTGTCCTTCCACCTGAAGCACCCAACCCCGAGTCTGAAGCTATTCTTTGCCCTGAGAAGAGTGCTCTGCAGGAGTTAAGTTTTGGAGTTCTGCCTTATACTAAAGGTAATTCCCAAGCAGAATACCAAAAATGTAATTTGCTGAATAGTGACAATTCTGTAAGCAGTGGATTACACAAAACAGAAAAAACCTTAAATCTGAGTGGTTTACATGGAGATAAACTTCCTCTGGAACAGACACACATAGATGCTGAAGGCAGAAATGATGATAATGCCAGAAACATGAACAGCACTGGTGTTCTGGCAGCTGATGCTCAACATCCACCAACTGTTTGTTGTGATAACGCAAGTGGTGATGATGCTGCTGCAAAAGAATGCAGAGATACTAAGTCTCTCTTAGGTACTTTTAATTTATGCCCCCCAAAAACTGAGAGAGGAATAAATGCAGATGACATGCCCAGCAAGCAACCTGAACAAGTCAGTGCTAAACAAACAGAGAATGCTGCAAATACATGGACTTCAAATGCTGAAACCAAATCTCCAGTAAAGGCTGATGGTCTCAAAATTGCTCCTGAAACCCCCTCAATAGATAGGGCAAGTATAGATAAAATACTTCCATGTAAAAATGTTAATGGTGCTCAGGTACACTCCATCAAAACTAGACATTCCCTGGAGATGAATACTTCAACAAATAACACATTGTTAAAAGAGAAAAAGGACTCTCTGAATAGTACAGTTCCAGGAATGAAGTTTGCTGAGGGTGACCTGAAAGAATCAAGCTCTTTACCCATGAGAACATCTGGAAATTTAGTAAACACAAGTGTAAGGTCATCCTTTGATCTTTCAACCTCAGATAAAAAAGCTGAGAAAATGCCACTATACTTGAATTTTTTAGCTCTCAGTTCTTGTTTAAGAATAAATCAAATGAGAGGTCAAGCTACATGGACTTCAGCTTCCAAGGAGCCTTCCCTTTTGAAAGACAAACCACCATGCTTAGTGGAAGACACAAACATTGTTTCAAACACACAGAGTCAAAATCTCAGTGAGAATGTGCACAGTGAAGGAACAGGACAAGGTAAGAAAATACAAGCATTAATGTTCTGGACCATGTAGTGCTGAGAAAAATTATCATGAATGTGAAATTTCTATATCTAAGCTTAGTGTAGAAAAACATAAACCTGACAGTTATATTGCAAAAAGATGGGATTGTTCTGTATATTACAAATGTAACTAAACAGCTTTTGTTAGCTTATCAGTCAATTAGTTGATTTAATATTTTTTTCTCATATTTCCCTTTGTGAAATAATTGCAGTGCAATTACAAGCTGAATTTTGATAGGCATTTCTAACCCTAATGTAGAGCATATTCTGTCAGGGCTCTGCATGGATCTGAAAAGCACTGAGGAGCTTTTGCAAATTATGCAGTGTTCTCATTTTGCACCAAAATAAGGGTAGATTTGGAACCATTTGCCAGAATACTGACATAATTTGAATGGGGCTTACAGAAACTTTATTTTATTGTACATCTCTAATTTAGATGGACACTTAAAACCAACTGAATCTGAATGTGTTGAGCATGTGAAAGGACTTTATATTCTGTCAGGCTCTGGAAAACATGGAGCCTTTTAATCTACTATTGACACTAAGTTATTACTTGTTGAGCAATATTTTGCACATACAAAATAGTAAATATTAACTTTATTCTATGGGTTTCTAAATCATTACTGAAATGTGGAAAAATTGTATTTTAGATTTGTTTTGCAGTAAAATGAGCTGGTAGATTCCCCCAAAACTGGAGCCCTGGATGTTTTCCAAAGAGCAGGATCCACAGGACAGGGTGTTTGTGTCTATTGAGTTTTTGTTGGTGCAGTGTTTTCACCTTTGGCCCTTGAACATACCAAGAGCAGAGTGAACTCCCATCCTTTGTTTTGCAGCCAGTGGCAGACACAAAGCCAGCAGTCTGGTTTCTTTACATTGTTCTGTTGGTATGAATTTAGCTCTACAGGCAATTTTGTTTCTGTCCTTGTTCTCCTGCCCATGGATCTTTGTGTTCAGGTGCACATTTTTTGAAGTTCAGTTTCAGAAATGTCTTTGTTCCTAAAACAGTAGTAGTGGTAGCAAGGTAGCAGAATCCTGAGCTCAGATGGCACATTATTTCTTTTAATAATGTGAATTTTAGTGTGTTTCAGTAAAATGAACGCCTAGTTACATGATGTTCTGCATGTATCATTTCTGTAAGAACAGACAGTGCTGTCTGAATTTCTTCCCTGTGAGTTCCTCCTCCTCCAAGTCACGGTGGTACACAGCCCTGCAGCTCCCAGTGCTTGTTGTGCTTGGGGTTTGTGTTGTTTTGTTTGCAGATCTCTTCCCAAATGGCAAACCTGCAGTGGAACCCATGTGGACACCAGACCTACATTTTAAATGATTTTTTTTACTGACTGGAGCACAAACCATTTAGCCGTATAGAAGACCTAGAGGTGAAGAGAACTGGTGGAAGAGTTTAGTAAATCTGTCTGAGGGAATTCCTTCTCCTGCCTCACCACAGTGCAATTTACTATTTGTACTCTGGTTCCCAGAGAGCAGACACTCCACATCAGTAAATGAAGGAATGAACTGGGAATGGGCAAGATCCTTCTGGCAGGTGCTTAAAAAAGAAAAAAAACACACAACCATTTTCCTCTTCCTCCCAAAAGAAAATGTCAGTATTCTGGAGTAATTGTTACATAACCATGAGATAACATGCATTTTCATAGCAAAACAAGATTTTACTGTAATGACAAAACAACTCCTGTTTGCATTGTGAGGAATTGTGAAAGCATGCTTGTATTTTCATCTTGCAAGGAATTTGATACTGGTTTCAACACAATCTACTGGTGCTGCATGAAGCTGCTGCAGGAGTGGAGGCTTATACTTAGCTAGAAGTATTAATTAAAAAGATTAATTTACTCACCTGCCTTTCCTGCTTTTGATAGATGGCTATTGCCTGACCACCTGAAACATCAGATGTAACCATTAACACAAAGACTCCTTATTTAAAATGGTTTTTGATTGTCTGAAAAGCTTTGTATTCATGTCTTCTTTTATTACAAGTCACCCTGCAATATCATGTGATAAAGGCATTAACTATGCATTTTATTAGTGTTATCAGAAGGTGAGTTTAAAGTAATAGTGTTTGAAAAATATATTCAGTTAGAATATTTAGAATGCATATGCTTTCTATAAATCGCTTTTCCGTCATTACCTTAGTATGTGAAAATAAGAAGAAACATTTTTAATCAGAGTAGGGATAAAGCAGTACCTCATATTTAGAGAAAAAAATAAATGAAGCATGTGAAAGAAAAAAAACGAAGGGCAAAAGCCTACAACAAAGATCCAGTGATTTAAAACAAAAATATTTGATTTTTTAAGATCAGAGGTAAACCAGTTTAGTTACTCACAATTAGTGCCTGGAGACTAAATTGCAGTTGTTACCATTTCCTTTTTGTCAATCAGGTTCTAGCAGTTTGAACAGAGCTGCCAACACTTTGAATACCTCTAGTATCCACCAGGAGCCCCAGGGAGAGCCTAGTGAGGAATGGAATGCTACAGCAAAGGCTTTTTATGATTCTTTTTTTCCCACAGAACATGTAAGTCAATTAAAAATATTGCAGACCAGACCTCAGTGAGCTAATTCCACAGATATTTGTACAACTGTACCCATCTGGATACTTTAAGGCTGAGTCAATCTCCAAAATAATATCAAAAGGGCAACAAGACACCATTTTTCACAATTAAGGTTGATAGAAAGCAGCAGGAAAAAGTCACAGCATATGAATCAAACAGATGCTAACCAGTCTGTTTGGGAGGGGAGGAAGAGGCTAGTCCATTGTGTACCCTAATAAAAATCATCACCTCCAGTAAAAGTAGAAGTTAAGGAAAAAAAAAAAGCAAGGAAAACAGTAGGATGTAAAAGTATAAAAACATTATTTCCTCTATTAGTTGATAGGACCATGTAATTTAAAAAAAGAATCCATGAAAGAATAAAAATTCAGCACATCTATGAATTAGAGCCTATCCATTTATCACACACTGTAGTTATGTGATGCCCTATTTAGAGTAATCTTATTCTTTTGTAGGGTAACTTTACACAAACATGTAAAAACCTGTTGTTTCCCAATGGCTCATCACTGCATTTTCAGATCTGTGTTAGACTCTGGAGCTTGAACAGCTCCAACTGCTCTATTAGAATTTGACCCAATGCTGAATGTATCATTCAAAAGTGATACAGCAATTTACAGCTGCAGTTCATCTCTCCTTTTTAGAAGAGGTTCTAGAGGTATTTCTCAGGTAGTTAGGGCTGTCTCTGGATGAGGTGTACAGTGGTTTCAAGCGATAAAGTTGGCTGACTTCAGCAGATAATCAGGTCTTGATGCCATCAGCATCCACATTCCCTGAAATTCACAAGACTGATGTTTTAAATTAATTGACTTTTCTAATTGACTTTCCTTTCCTAGCCTGTCTTTGTGAATGACACTGAGGTGGATTTTTCACCAAACACAGCGGTGGTTATTTACTGCGTGTCTCTTGCTTTTTCTCAGAGGTGGAGCCAGGAGTTGAGTGAACTCCACTGTGTAACCTTTGCTGAAGCAAAGCTGTATTTCATTATCTGGTTGTGGTTGTGTCTGCTTTGTCACCTCCAAACTAAAGCTCCTGCTAGCAAGGAAAAGCAGAGATGGATAAGAACAGCGCCCTGCTGGTTTCCCCTTAGATTTTCCAAATCCTTAATCTATGAAACCTCACCCTGCAATAATGCAGAGCACTCCCTCCTTTCTGTGTTGGTGTCATTCTAATATTTTCTGTTTTCAACTTTGTCATTTTAATGCAACAAGCTGTTGGGAGATTAAAAATGGGCTCAACAGTCTTTTTTTCTGCTTTGTTTGCTTTGACGAACATGTATGATTGCAACTAGAGCAGATTTAGGCCTTCTGCAATTTGGGTAATCTCATTCAACCACAGTAATCTTAAAAAGGGGTAAAAATTATAAACAAATGCTACAGGTATGCTTACAATTCTAGTAAAAATACTAAGAACTGTTTAAACATCAGTCAGTCCATGCTAAAGTACCATAGGAAGGATGAATAAGCACCCCCACGACAGTTTAAACATGAAGTTTTCAGTACCAGACAGGTTCATTCCACATTCCCACATGCTATTCCATAGAGATTTTGGCTTGCTGTGAAGTATGATCTGTTTGTTGCTGAGAGAATTAACAGATTGAAACTTTCACTGCTCAAATGGAAAAGTTGCTTCCTCACTGAAAGGGAGATGCCAGTCATTACTGACCTGGAGTATCACCTCAGCTGCACGGCAGCAACATCCTTACAAACGCAATAATGAACAATTTGCTTGAATTTTATGGTTCATATTTCAAATTTTAAGAAATGCTTGTACACTAGGGAAGGTAAGCATTAGCACTAAATTAATGTAGGCCTGATAAAGCCTTAGAGTTGGCTGGGCCACAGTTGCCTGATGAGCAGAGGGGGAAAGGTCTCATCTTGTGATCCTTGCAAGAGGAGTCCCCGAGCACAGGAGCAGAGTCTGGGGTCACCTTGCAGGTCCCCTGCAGCTCTGGCTTTGTGCTGCACCTTGCTCAGGCAGGTGGCTGCTGCTGCTGCTGTGTGCTGCTCCCCAAGAGCCACACAATCCCAGATTACAAGTGGAGAACTCATCACTCAAATGCAAGGCAAAAAATCTGTTTCCCTACTGTGTTGCCATCTGTCTTTGATTTGGATAGATATGAAGTAGCTAACAGTAATATATCAAAGAGTAATTAAAACTATTAAAAGAACAAAAAGATCTTTAACATAAAAAGCCAGCCTATTACAGACCTTGCATTACTGATGTTTGCTTTTCAATCTATACAGTGGAGAGGGAGTTAGCACTATAAACCTCCTGATTTTGGGTTTTGTTAATCAAATGCTTGCATAGCAATAGAAATGTCAATTGCAACATTAAACTCTTTAATTAAGCTATTTCTTTTGCTAATCTACATTCTAATTGTTTTTGCTAATTGTTTTAATTCTAATTGATTTTGCTAATCTACATTGTCCTTTTAAAATCATACTCTTGTACTGAGTCTTATGTTAAGGTTTGGTTTATAAAAGTGTAATTGTCATTATCAAGTTTTCTAAACGAAATGCAAACACTTCAAGTGTTTTCTTCCAATTGATTTATTTTTCTGTTAACATTTCCTCACTCGCTTAATGTTCAGCAAAATCCAACAATCTGAACCTTTGTACGTGAATTTCACTGAGTTACCAACTGCTAACATTTGTATTCTGTCAGGTTAAAGAAGGATTTGCTGCTTCACAGAACAAGCAGGAGTCTCCTCACACGACTGTCACTCCAGCAAGTGAAAAAGCACTCAAAGATGATGACAGCTGCTCTCTTCAGAACTCCATCATACAAAACCAAACAGGAGGAACTGAGAAATTACTGACTTCGGAGAGACTTCATTCAGCAAGAAAGAGAAAATATGAAGAAGGCCAGTGAAGATAACAGGACATCAGATTTCTTGTAGGCATAGACAGATCACTTGCCTAACCCAGATTTGTAGAGGTGTTCCTACAGAACTTGGTATATATGTGTAGTTTCATGTTTAATATGACATGTTAACAGTTCTTATGTTCAAAAATGTATACAATCTAATTCTAATATTAGTTCAGGTTCTGCAATCAAATTCAAGTTATTATTGGCTTTGCCCAAAGTTAAAAAGTTTGTTAAGTTAATGTTTTTATATATGTTTAGTAAAATTAAATAATCACTTAACTGTACCCTTCTCCTGCTCCTCAGGAGTTTTGGCTGAAATAGTTCAATTCCTTTTCTCTGACAGACTGCTCACTCAAGTTTTCAGGCAAAATTCACCTCCAACTGTTTCAGAATACAATGGGTTCTGCAAACATTTACAGCTCCTTCCAGCAGTTCTAAGTGGCAGAAGAACAGAAAAATCTTCTGCTTACCTTTACTGCCAAATTAAATATATCTGTTGTAGTTTCTGCATCAATGAGGTCTCTTTCAACACTGAAGGATCAGGTATGATTACAGAGATAAGGCAGCAGATCTGGCTTTGTGAAGCTTCCCTTCTATTGGGTCACGTTTCTCCTCCCTTGTGTCTAAGGGAAATTTTCTCTCACTTTAAAAATACTTGCACTATCATTTTTCTGACCTCCTTCCCCTTCCTCCCCACACCTCTTGCAAAGAAAGTCCTCATACTGTAAAACAAACAAAAGAAGCATAACCAATATTTCCAGTTTCTTATTGTTGATTATATAAGAAAATAAACAGAAGACATTTTCCTGTGTTAGTTTTATTGCCTCTTTTTTTTTTTTTTTTGGTGTGGGGCAATTTGGAATATTTAGCTTCTTTAAATCAATTGCATACATTTTTTTTTTTTAAACATTCACAAATTGTCAAAGTTTTGAATAAAATTTATCTATAGCAATATTACTAGGTCAAAAAAAAAAAGTTCTTAGGTGTCTGAGAGACTGAGGAGACTGTTCTTCACTTGATTCAAATTTTGTTTCCAGGTGTTTAGAGTGTCATACAATTGCTGCCACTGCTGCTTTCCAAAAGTCCGATGTGTGCTGTGACTGGAGAAGTAAAACAAAATAGGCAGAAGATTACTGGAGATGTCACACACACACCTAATCATTCTTCTATAGCATTACTTTACTCTCATGAGCAAATAGGAAAATTCTTATTTTCTCTCTAGAAAGGGCTGCACTTCACCAGTGAAGTGAATTCTGTAGCCTTCCCAAATATTTGAAGCAACAAGAGTCATTAGTATTCTTGTCACTAGTAGGTCATTAAATGAAATGTCCTGGAAAGTAGGACTCTTTCATTAAATAAGCTAATCACATTCAGTGCGAGCTTTAATAAAATTATGATAAATTGCAACTATTTAACTACCAGCAACTGATAGGAACAATACCTTGCTTCTAGTTAGAATATTCTACAAAGGTAAGTGAAATAATTAGAACACACCAAGTTCTGCAAAATGCCATGCAGAATTGTCTTACCTGACAACGACTTTCCTCTGTGTCTGATCTATTTTGCAGTACACCATCTTTGTCTTTACAGCTGCAAAAAAAAACAATGCTGTTTTGAGCAACATTTTCCTGATAGTGCAAAGGCATTAAACTGCACAAAAAATGGTTCAAAATGAGATCAATACAAACATAAGAACACAGCAGTTCACTTAATCTGTTTTGCTGTTGGTTTTAATGGCCTAGTAGGCAGAAAAGCAAAATGATGTAACAAGATGAAGGTCATGCACAAATCCTATTGTTTGGTGCCAATCTATTAAAGCAATATCCTGTACAGATTTTATGAACTTCTCTCCCCTACAAACACATCCTGTTTTAGTGACAGCAAACAAAACCAGATGACAAATTAAACCTGCAAACAATTTATTAGCTCTGTAAAGAATTACATGAGATACAGTCCCTGTCACTGAGAAGAGAAACACTGGTTAAAACACAACAGTTGGGCCTGTCTTTAAAAAATAAGTTGTGCAGCTTGTATAAAGCACAGGAATTAAAATTAATATTGTTCTTAATATTCAACATTAGCTTAGAAGATTATAAAGGTCTTGTTGATGAGCACTGTGTGCAGAACCACAGTTCCTACCGTCAATGACAAACGCTTCTACATCATCAGCCCCGATCTGGAGTTCCTGCTGCATTGTGTCAAATGAGATTTCTTTATTCTCTACAGCCATTCCCATGAAAGTAAGGAGCCTCATCTTGGCCATATTGTGTTCGTGCAACAAGCCTGAGGAAAAGTGTTGAAAGTTTAATTAATGATTTAATTACAATTCATACAAATTGCTTTTCGTGTTATTTTTGCTACATACGCTTCCCATCGTTCAAAATTTATTTCACATTGAAATCTATTCTACTTTTCCTTATCAAGAGTCTTTTTGAGGTAAAATATCAGATCCTGCATCTGCCTTGTCTTTTGCTAAAATAGCAAGTTTCATTGTGAATTCATCAAGACTCAGTTGTTTTTTAGCAAAAATGTATTACCTACAAAAGTTTTGTAAAACCTAAACAGAATTTGAGGTCGTGAGAGTGCAAGTGAATTTTTCAGTTGCATCACCTGTAAGAACAGCAATGCAACAAAATGGCTGGTTATGGCCAAAGATCTTCTTAAAGCCTCACTACTCATTCTCCTGTAGTTTCTGGAAAAGAAACCTCTCACAGTGATGGTTCCAGAACATTGTGGTGCCAGAAGAAAGCATTTTGCTACTGAATTTGTTTGTCCACAGCAAGAAAAAGCATCAAGAGGCCTATGTGAGCAGCCAGTGTGGCTCAGAAAAGCAACCATTTATACATGACTGCATAAATGCCAACACAAGGAACTGAGGCAAGGCCTTGCATGTCTAAATCAGAGACCATTTTCCTGGAAAAACATCTAGGTCAACCAAGTTAAGTCACTGAGATGAAACCATCAATTGTCTTAATCCCAAGGTCCATGAGATACCAACTAAAATCCACTGGAAGTTTCTTAAAAATGAATGTCAATCTTTGTGTTCTAAAATGACATTATAAACATTACCATAGCTTCAGTAAATATGTGAGTTTGGAATTTATAACACCCATACACTAGCAGGGAAGCACATTAGTGCAGGACATCATGTTGTGTTAATTAGCTGTAATTATGATGCAGGTTCCCTATTTGGCACCCATTCAACAAAAACGTGATCACCATAATTCACACGAACGAGGAGCACCAGCAACTAAACCTAACTGGGTTTAATGGAACTCTACAAGCATCAAGAAATCAATTAGCACACATTAACCCTAATTAACAAATGCAAATGAGATGCTGATTAACTTTGCGAAGAAGACTGCTGATAATACCAGATTAACTGTGGCCATGTTAGGGCGATGCAGTTGACACAGATAATGCTACTGCTGGCCTAAGTTGTCAGCATTAATAAAACAACAAATTGTAACAAACTGATGCTGCCACAGCTTTCCTGGGCCAATTCTAACTGGTCCTGGTCCAGGAAAGCTTACAACTACAGCCCACGTTCTGCTGCCATTGGAATTCTATTCTAAACAGCCTTCAAAACAAAGGTATTTTGGCAAGTTATTAAAAAAAAAAATATCTAAAGTATGGTTAAAAGCCTCATTGCTTTTGGGAACAGATTGTTTTTGATTGGTTCATCTAATAACTGCATTGTTGTTGTGTAACAAACTGCCCTTGCTTTTCAAAGCCATGGCTGAGCCACTCAGTTCCCAGCATTTCCATCCTTGCTGTCTCCAAATCTCTGCTTGTCCATTGATCAAAGACACAGAGAGTTTCTGAGCACAGCATAGAGAAATCAGCCTAAGTGGAAGTTCAGACTGCCTTTCCAGCTACACAGATATTGAAGGATTTTACTAAGATTGTGTGAATCTTAGATTTATTGAAAGTTCACACACTGAATTAATTCATGGAGGGAAGCACAGATGCTGGTAAGCAAGGCAAAAGAAACCACAACAACTGAGTATAAAACAATTAATGCTCTGCCATAAATTTATTCAAATGTTGGTGTAACAGCAATTTCAGCAAACACTTCTGTGAACAAGTACCTAAAAGATAAGCCCCAAACCACTTTCCCCTGAGAAAGAAAACCATAAGATGTCTGTATAACTGATGTTCAGATGCAAGTGACTGAAGATACACTTATCCTATACATTCATTTACAAGCTACCAAAAACTTGCTGCTAATTTTATCCACCAAAAAATCCCACTGGTATTTCCATCATCTTAATACCCAAAGTACCACAGTTTTAAAGCTCTGAGGGCAATTATTCTAAGAATTGTGTCACACCCCAGTAAACAAAATAAAATAAAAAAAAAGTTGCACTAAACTCTGTTTTAGCAAAACTATGGCTTTCCTCAAATGCATCCAAGGCAGTGTTTAAGTGTCATTTGAAAATCAAAGTTATAAAAAAAAAAAATCATATTTTTATGGAAACATTTATTCATTACTAATATGTCAAAACCTTAATGCAGTAATAAAAAAATCTGCATCATTGAGCAATTTCTGCATTGTCACTGACCCCTGTCCTAAAAAGCTGGAATATAAAAAACGTAATTTTAATGCATGCAATAGCTTATGAACCAGTGCTCCTTTGAAACAGTCAATTACACATCAACGGGGGAGTGTCAAAGTGTTAATTACTACTCCTTTTTTCCACAGTGTGTAAATAAAGAGGGTGCTGACATTAACATTCCATCACATTGCTTCATGTGATGAAACAAATTAACTGGGACAGACTGTGGCTTGCTGGGTCTAATGCATCAGCACATGCAGACACACACAATTTGCATGCTTTATCTTGCTGCTCAGAAGTATTTGCTGTTATAAAGTTATTCATCATTTAAAAAAAAATAGGAGATTTATACAAGTTTGTGGTTTCCTCAATGCAGTTGTGATTTCTGGCTTAGCCTAGAGTATGAATGTGTTAAACCTTGCAGGAGGGGAGTTCTAAGAGGAAAAAACAGTGGGTAAAACCACAGCTCTCTTCCAAAGCCATAAACCAGCTTGTTTTCAAAGAACAAACCACAGTTAGATAGCCCTCACTATTTACCAGAGGTTATCATCTACAAACTCTAACCTGTATGAAATTTCCTTGCTTCAATACATGGATTCAAACTGAATTACTCTGAGACTTCCATACCTTAAGCCATAAAAATAGTCAGAAATGTAATGATCTGAAAACTCACCCAGGGAGTCAATGAAGTCTTTGTTGTTCTGATAAAACTTGACGTAGGATGCTAGTTTAGCACTTACAAAAATTGTCAAAAGCTAGAAGATGGAAAGCAAACATGAAAACAGTTTAAATATTACCTTGGTTTCCCTCTTTGCAGGCTGGACAGATGTAGATAGAAACTATGAGTATTGAACAGAAAAATAAGCTGTTAAGAGCTGAAATTCTGTCTTCTGTCAATAGATGTGGGCAGTCTGTGCTGAGCTTACTTCCTTCCCCCAGACTTTAGATTTGCTACAGAACTTATGGTGAGGGCAGGACTTGTAACTTAGTTTCTGAAACTTTGAAAGGGAAATGTTTCACATGCAATTTTCATTTTAAAGGCTGTAAAATAAATAGCACATTGCAGCTCAGGATTACTGACACAGATAACTATTCTAATGGATTTCAAAAGAAACATTAAAACAGAGCAGTCTACTGCTATCAAACCATCTCACTAAAAACAAA